TGAAAGATAACGTTAGCTTGTCACTTGACACTAACGACTAACGCTACTAACGTTACTAATGTTACTAACGTTACTAACGTTACCGACCCGCCCGCGGTGGCTGGGCCGACCTGCCGCTGCTAGGCCCTCACCCGCCCGGCTAGACGAGACTAGACTAGGTCGTGGCTTAGCCACCGCGGCGGATCGGTTAGTCGGGGAGCGAGAGCAAACACCTGCAGCTGCTGACAAGCTAACGTTATCTTTGTGTGCTACCAAACAAAGACATACTTCCTCTAGAGCCGCTTGACGGCCGCTGACTCCAATGTGCTTCTCCATGCTCCCCTTGGCTGCACTGTCAGAAACTTCTGAGAGTTAACGTAAATATGACGAATATCCCTCTCTGTACGTCATCACGTTGATGACGTGCAGAGAGCGGGAGCTCAACGTACACGTCCCAAACAGATAAGATCACAACAATAGCATGTGTTCATAAACCACCCTTGTTCGCCTTCTCATACAATATGTTGGGAAGTTGCAATAAATATCAATACAATATGTTCTATATCCCTTGTGTTGTTTCTCCCTTCGTCTGTTAAGATAACTGAACATTTTGTGAGTCTGGAGGCATTGGTCAGCCTTTATATCTCATTTGTAAATGCTTAATAAGCCATAGATAGTGCTCACTTTAGATAAGCTCATGCAAAATACTTAATTAACGAGTAGTAAGTGCTTTGTAACTGTGAATTCCTGCATTAATCACTGTTTATAGGCCATCATTAGAAAATGAATTTGTTGTGGGTTTTATAGAACATCTGCTAACACAGTCACTAATCATTAATACATGTCTGAATAGTGGATGTGCAAGTGCATGCAGAAATGTACAGTACAATGAAGAGTAAAACATTTATAACTGTGATTATAAACCACATAGTAATGACTATTTACAGCAGAATCATGCTTTTATAAATGATGGATTCAGTATTTACTAATCCATAACTAATGTGCTTATCAATGATGAATAAAACGTTTTTAACTGTGTTTATAAACTACATACTAATGTGTATTCATGCGTTATAAATGATGAATTCAGTATTTATTCATGCTTAACTAATGCTTAATAGTGTGTACTCATTATAAAGTGTTAGCCTAAATGATGGTTACCATATTTTATTCAAGACTATAATTATATATATAAATTGATACATATAATAAAACTGTGGCATCATAATCTGTTATATTGTTATTTTTAAGCTATTCTTTGAACAAGAATAACAGTATTTTGGAAATATTTTGGAACATATTTGAGAGGTTTTGTAGCTTTTAAACTTGGAAAAGAGATTCAAAGACAAAAACAATAAATGATCAAATTACTGACATAATGCTGTTTTAATGTCGATAAATGCAACTACATAACAAACATAAAAACATAAAAGCAATGACGAATGTTTAAATCAAATTCTAATCAGTTGATTAGCCATCAGTCTGCAGTCTACAGTGAGTCAAGAAAGACGAAGGAAATGTTTTGTTGTTGTCTCTTATCTGTCCAAATCTGTTTATTGAAATGCTGATTACAGGAACAATCTTCCTAATCTTTACTTTTTTTTACAGGACCAGGAGTTATTGAACAGCATGATAGAGTTCACTGAGATCCAGGAAGAAATACCTGATTCCAAGAATAAAAGTGTGAAACAGTTTCACTTTCTAATGTAAAAGGAGCTCTGAAAAGACTCTATAATGGTGACATATAAGAATAATTCAGCCTTTTACTAAATATTTTACTGCTGTTTTAATGTACTGTATCTAATATAAGTTTTCCTTGGTGTTTGTTGTGTGACGACCCTGTGAGTGAACTCCTCGAGGAGCCTGGCAGGTGGAGTCGGGTCATCAGGAAGATTTAGCTCACCTGGTCTGGTTGCAAGACTATATAAGCTGGATGCAGTCAGCCAGTGTCTCTGCCCAGTCTCTGCTGGAAACCTTACTGTTTATGGTAAATGTCCTTAATGGTTTCCAGCTGCGCACCGCTGACATGCCTGGCCGCCTTGACGACCCACTACAGATGTAAAGAATCCCCTGTGGCAGCCTCATTTTAAAATCCAGAATCACAACCTAACATCATACAAGTTCTTGGTAGACTTTGCACCCTCTTATAATATCCCATTAGTCAAGCAGTGGCAGTCAGTGACACACTGTGTAAAATGCTTATGTTGGACACTATTCTGAAGGCTTGAGTGTTGCTTCTGTCTGTGAAGATGTGAGTTTGCTGTATGCATGTCAGCCAATTCACGCCTGGATACATGCTGAAATGCAAATATATATGCTGTGAAGATGAGTCTTTGAGGAAGTTTATTTGTAGCTCATCAGTTTCGCTGCCACAGGTGTGGTCCCAGAGGTGCAGAGAGAGGGCGAAGTGACTCTCTAAAGAGGATATGTTTAGAAAGGCCAGGAAATTGTAACCGTCAGAGCGTAACTGATAACAGAAGTTCACGGTATGTTGACTTGATGTTGTGTTATTTTAGATGTTCTAGAGTTGTGACTCAAACGACAACAAAATCCTCAAAAGCCCTTTATGTTTGTCACAAGTCCACTTTCACTCATATTCATATTCACTTTTAAAGGCTGTACAAACATTGTAAATATCATATCTATTAAAAAGCAAATAGGATCAACAAAATGACCAATCGCGGGCGGCTGTGGCTCAGAGGCAGAGCGGGTCGTTCCTTAATCGGAAGGTTGTGGGTTCGATCCCCAGCTCTCTGGTGCCACATGTCGAAGTATCCTTGAGCAAGATACTGAACCCCGAATTGCTCCTGATGCCGTGCATCGGTGTGTGAATGTGTATGAATGTTAGTTTCTGTTGGATGGACTTTGCCATCACTGAGTGAATGTGTGTGAAAGGGTGAATGTGGCACGTAGTGTAAAAGCACTTTGAGTGGTTGGAAGACTAGAAAGGCGCTATACAAGTACAGGTCCATTTACCAATGTGAATAACCACAGACAGAATGTATCTATTTCTACTTCAGTAAAATCTGTTATTAATGTATCAATTAAAAGTTGATACTACACTTCACTAGCACATGTTAATGGAATTTAAAGTGTAAAGTAATTGAGAACTTCTGTAAACATAATGTAACAACAGTGCACATATTTATTCATTTATTTAAACAATTAGGAATTACAGTTATATTTTTTAGTCTTACAGGTGGCAGAGAAATCCATTTTCACTGACTCAGTCAATCATTACATGAGAACCATTTGATTTGGAATATTTACAGTATATTATCGATTCTGCACGTTTTAAAACTACATAAAAAAGACAAAAAACAGACGAAGTCATGCAGTCGGTCTCGCTGTGCACTCTCTCTCCTTCTTTATTATTTCTTCATCTGAAAAAAAAACCAGAACATAAATCAATTAAATATATTATATTAATTTGTCAAAGTTGCACAGTTTGCTTGACCACTTCAATCTGAGTTCCCCCAGCTCTTCTATACAGTCGATACTTGTGGCCAGCAGATTCACTGCAGGCGACTAATGTTTTATAACAATTATATTAACTGTTGGGCTGGATGATTGGTTCATTTTAATAACATTTCTTAAGAACTTCAAAACAAACTTATTAGTATGACAAGCTTCATCCTCATGCAGGGACAGCTTCACTATTGTTGATGTGTTAAATAAAGATGCTATCTGTAATGTGTTTAATTCAATTAATTGTTAATATCTATGTATGTGCTGTGGAGCATTTAAAACACACAAACCAGCACATTTTCTCTGGTTGGAGACACTCTTCACTCTGCTGCTGCTAGATGTTGATCGGGCACATGTGCTGGTTGGCCGTGCTCAAATTCAGAACAGAGGCAGTGAAATGAAGTGATGCATTTTACGTCACTTTACTGTGAAACTGTGTTTATCAAAAATCAGCACAATAAAGCTGAAATATCCCAGTTGTCACATTTTTACTTTATCACGATGTTATTGGCACATAGAGTAATACACCAGCCAGAAATAATGATTTGGTGTCAATTTAACCGTTGATATATTGCTGATAATCAGTTTAGATTGTTCTGGTTTTTGTCTCTTTTGTCAGGTTTTATAAATGGATGCATTCATTTGCATTACTGCATAAAACTGTCTTTTATGTTTGTGATTTTTATTGTTTACCCGACTGAGCTTTATTTGATCAAACTGTTTACTTATTTTCAGTGAATATATAAATTCTGTATTATATCCTACAGAGGTTTTAGTATGACTGAAATGCAGAACAGGCCTGCATGTTTACCTTGGACCAGGCTGAATATCATGTTATAGAAGAGAGAGGATATGAAGAGGAATATGAAAGAGGAGGCTGTGGACCACAGACTGTGAACTCATCCTCTTCATCTGTGCAGCTCAGAGCACAACTCAGTTCTGACTCTGATCAAAATCTAAGAAGAGGAAGGTATAGGTGGTTAGATGAGAGGTGTGTGTGTGTCTAAACACAGGTTTTTATTAAGATAACTGATATACGTTTGTCTCCTTTAAATAGTGCTCATAAACTGGAATCGAGCATTATTCACTCTTTGATCACACGTCTTGTGTGGACATTTCTCCAGTTGAACAGTGGAAGAGAACAGTATACAGAGTCACTGTATACTGTTTTCAGCTTGTTTTAAAATACTGAAGTAATTCATGAACATGTAACACAAGGGTCCCCATGCAACATTTATTTGAAACAGTCAGCACACTTCTCAAGCTGTTAAACATTGTGACAAAGACAGATTGAAACACAAACAGTCATGACAAACAAAACTAAACTGACATGTTGACTCTGATTATTTCTTACAATCACAAAGATCTGATGACATCACAGAGTGCACAGGTTCCCATGACAGAGAGTACACACAATGACGGAACAACACATCAGCACAAAATACCACATTTAAAGCTCAATGTACTATTTGTCACATTCAAGGGAGTTACCCTGGGCCTTAGACACAGCTCGTGATTTCATGGACGAATTGCTGCCAGCAACCCAGACGTGGCAATTAAACACGTTCCCAGGGGTCTCCCACTTTGCCTTGGTTGGGGTGTAAACACTTGTTACTAAGTAGCCATCCTTGGTCTTCTGTGGGGAAGTTAATGCCATCCTCATAGATGCCAGGGGTTTTTTCAATGTTTTCTGACCAGGCGATGTAGGAATCCTGCAGCACAGGACTGAAGACCAGACACACCAGACTGACCTCAGCTTCTTTATTGACTTCTTCTGGTAGAACGTGGACTGTCACTTTTGTCTTACTTACATCTGAAAGAGATACTCAGTTTACCAGTCCATATATAATCTTTATGTTTGCTGTATATAGCTAATGAAATGTTTGTATGTGTAGGTTGGCTACCTCCCCAGACTTACAGAATACTGTTCTGCCAATAAGTCTCCATCAGTCAGAAACATACCCCTTTGTGGACAGTGAGATCTTGAACAACTGTAGTCATGTCTTCTCTAGCAGCAGAACAGCGCACTTTGTTGACTCCCTGCCACTCAGTGCGATTACGACTCATTGTGCTGGTTTTGCTGTGCTGATCACCATCGGACGATACTCGTGATTCTATATTTTCTGCCACAGTTTGTCCATCAATTTGCCAAGTGATTTGGATTTCATTTACAATGGACTCGTCTTGTCCAGTGACGATGCACTCCAACTTTGCCTCGTTGTTACTGAAAATTTCTTTGGCACTTGGTTGGTTCAGTGTCACTGTGACAGTAGCTACAGAAAAGAGAACAACAGAGAAAACCATTTCTTAACATCTGATTAATACAAGAGTAAAAACTCTCATACAGTGTTCTATTACTTTATGTCACTAACTATGACTACTAGCTGAGTTACAGTACAACAGTATTATGTTATGACTGTAGAAGTACCTTTAGAGGCAATCTTTTTATATTGTTTTCCTCTGTGCGTCGCCACACACGTGTAAACAGCTTTACTGTCCCAGTCTGTGTTCTTGACCTTCAGGACACTGACAGCTGAATATAGATCTCCAGTTAATACAGGGTCCCAGTTAGTGCCAGCTACATCGTTCTGATTCTTTTTCCAATTGATTGTCAAGTCTTTTGGAAGAAAATCTTCAACTGTACACATCAGGGCCTGAGAGTCTCCCCTTGGCACTGATACCAAAGTTACCTTTGGAGGGTCCCCTAAGCAGGTGGAAGAAAGAGCAGATCAGCACATCAGTCTGTAATTATTAATTCTAGAATTTTTAGAGATTAGAATTTACTGGCAATTGCAGGCTTATTATGTAATTATTCATCAGTTATCATTACCATTAACTTTTCTTTAATACATTTAGTTTAAAAAAATTAATGTGTAAACATGCTATATTTAAATCAACTCCATTTATAAATGACTGATCATAAGTCTTACGTGGCTTCACGATATCAGCCTGTGCGTTTCCTGCTGCATGTGTCGCGACACATTATTGTATAATTATTTAAGTCACACCAGTAGTACTGGCACGTGCAGGTATATAAGTCACAGGTGTGCATGATCACTCTGGTTTTTACTTGATCCACATCTGATTTTGAGCAAGCTTGAGGTGGAGGGACACTCTTTTCACACAGAGAACAACGGTTGCAACGCAACCCACAGGACGGCCAGATGTTGCATGCTGCTATTCTTTGCACAGGTGCTACCTGAAGCCTCACTGGCCCTGCAAGATGCCAAGGCTTAGTGACTACAGGGTTAAAAGGGCCACTCAAGCCAGACACCAGATGCAAGGATAGATCTAAGTTTGTGAATCTGAGTTCTATATTTAGTGCTGCGCACTTTTGTGAAATATAATCTTTTTCTTTTTCATTGGTCCAAAGAAAAGTTCTCTGTGGGAAGTCTTGTGCAATAAAATCAACAGTGATTTCATCTCGATTCGCGGAGTTGCACTGAACAAACGTCAGAGCAGTTTCGTTCAAAGTGGAGATTTTTAGTTTAAGTTTTGCATCATAAATACACACATACATTAGATGTTCAGTTTCTCATTTAAAAGCAAATGATTTGTTGAATTAAATGTCAGAATGTTAACGTTCATTACACATTGTTGAAAATGTCATTCTTTTTTACATTTATCACTTCTAATATTACAAATATATTCATAATAATAATAATAATAATAATAATAATAATAATAATAATAATAATAATGAAGACTGTGACTAAAAAATCATAATTGCAAACATCAAAAACACCCCTCATTGTAGGAGGATTTAAATGGTTTACCAATTGAAACGTAAATCATTCTTTACCATTTCTAAGGAACAAAACACAATTTAGCTTAAAAATATTTCCGATATATTTTTAACAGTAACTATTGAAGCTGTCACCATATCAGATTTTCACTACACAATTGTCATAGCCAAAATTATTTACATAATAACGATATTATCATGATATCTATAGAGAATCTGAGAAAAAAGCTACAACTCAAATTCATCTTTAACTTTTTTTGTGTGTTTTGTCTCTTTTTGTGGCCAATAAATTAAACTCAAAGTACCAGTGTAGGGAGGAGGTAGACATAATCTGATATAAATCTACTAAAGTGAATAAAAAGAACAGTTACACTGAGTATAAATCGGAAAGAGAGAATGGAAAGCAATATAAGACATTTAGGAGGTGCTGGATTATTCATCATACATATATTATTAAGGTGATATCATTATTTCATTAATTAATTGTGATGGTTATCATCAATACTGGTGTATCACAACATCCCTAACTTATAAAGGAATAATTCATTGATAAATAATAATATTATAAATAAAAGAAAGAAAATTGTCTTTGGGAAGAATTAAAAACCACTATATATGAAAGCGATTCCTCCAAAAACTAAAATAGATGATTAACAATTGAACCTACAGTGAAAATACTGTCCTTTAAAAGACACTTTCTCCTGTGGTATTTTAAAGAGAAACTACACACGATATAAAAGTGTGTACTTAATTATGTCCCTGTTCAGTGTTCAGTTGTTTCATTAAAATGCATACTGAACCTGTATTTAAACACACTAATAAAATGTAATTTGCTATGTTTTAATTGACTTCCTATATAAAAATGCAGGTACAATAAGGTACATAATCAATATCCACAGTTATAAATTATTATTTTTAAATTATGTGAATATAAGGATGCAGACATTCATCAGGTGCAATTAATATCCAAATGAATAAAATGTAAGATAAAAAAATAAACCCTCCTGCATTAAGTGATAATAACAAAGAATTATTTTTTCAAAGGCTTTCTAAGAAACAGCTGCATTAAAAACATCTGTCGGCTCTGTTTTCTAGTTATTGTCAAATATCACTATAAACCTGAATAACACTATTAGTTAAACTTCTTTGCCAATAATCAGAATAATCACATTTTAAAAAGTAAAATAAAAATATGATGTTTAACAGTGACTTACCTGAAGATACTGTGACCTGAGTCCCACGACCCCAGTAGTCGAAATAATCACAGTGCTACATCTCCACTCACTGCTTGAACAAAAACCTGATGTACCACAAAAGGTGTTAAAAACTCATTAAGTGTTTGAAATACACATAAATCCCGGCCAGTATGACACCCTGGTGTCCTGCTGTGTGATGTGCTTTGTATTGATTCTTAATCAGTAATTCAATTTAAAATTTATTTGACGGTAACATTTACATCTTTGCGCTAACTGTGACTTTTAACTACTAATTAACTAATGTTTAATGACTAATTTGCTTATTAAAATAGATGAACACAGTAGTTACCTCAAGTTGAAACTAGAAATATTTTGTCCTGTCCTTTTCTTCCATCACAAGAATGTCAGAGTGTAAGACTATAGCTCTTAGGTTTTTGTATGGATCTAGATCACAGTGACCATCCCAATCCATCACAGTGATAAACCCTAATACAAAAACCAAATGCTGCACTGGAGACTCTGGGGACCTGTACTGTCAGCAGTGGGTAAGAATAATACAAAACTCAAATTATAATATAACAAAATATGTTTTATGTTATAAATTGGCAAATTTGCATTTTGCATCATACTCATAGTTCAATAAGTGTATCTTTGTTTTTATGTATTTTTTAAAAACTATTAATATATCACTTCTCCAATGAAACACCAAGCAACTAAATGGGGTAACACTTTATAATGAGTACACACTATTAAGCATTAGTTAAGCATGAATAAATACTGAATTCATCATTTATAACGCATGAATACACATTAGTATGTAGTTTATAAACACAGTTAAAAATGTTTTATTCATCATTGATAAGCACATTAGTTATGGATTAGTAAATACTGAATCCATCATTTATAAAGCATGATTCTGCTGTAAATAGTCATTACTATGTGGTTTATAATCACAGTTATAAATGTTTTACTCTTCATTGTACTGTACATTTCTGCATGCACTTGCACATCCAATATTCAGACATGTATTAATGATTAGTGACTGTGTTAGCAGATGTTCTATAAAACTCACAACAAATTCATTTTCTAATGGTGGCCTATAAACAGTGATTAATGCAGGAATTCACAGTTACAAAGCACTTACTACTCGTTAATTAAGTATTTTGCACGAGCTCATCTAAAGTGAGCACTATCTATGGCTTATTAAGCATTTACAAATGAGATATAAAGGCTGACAATGCCTCAAGACTCACAAAATGTTCAGTTATCTTAACAGACGAAGGAGAGACACAACACAAAGGGATATAGAACATATTGTATTGATATTTATTGCAACTTCCCAACATATTGTATGAAGACGAACAAGGGTGGTTTATGAACACATGCTATTGTTGTGATCTTATCTGTTTGGGACTCTCAGAAGTTTCTGACAGTGCAGCCAAGGGGAGCATGGAGAAGCACATTGGAGACGGCGGCCGTCAGCGGCTCTAGAGGAGAGTATGTGTCTTTGTTTGGTAGCACACATTATGGTTGAAAGATAACGTTAGCTTGTCACTTGACACTAACGACTAACGTTACTAACGTTACTAATGTTACTAACGTTACTAACGTTACCGACCCGCCCGCGGTGGCTAAGCCGACCTGCCGCTGCTAGGCCCTCACCTCGCCCGGCTAGACGAGACTAGACTAGGTCGGCTTAGCCACCGCGGGGCGGGTCGGTTAGTCGGGGAGCGAGAGCAAACACCTGCAGCTGCTGACAAGCTAACGTTATCTTTGTGTGCTACCAAACAAAGACACATACTCTCCACTAGAGCCGCTGACGGCCGCTGACTCCAATGTGCTTCTCCATGCTCCCCTTGGCTGCACTGTCAGAAACTTCTGAGAGTTAACGTAAATATGACGTAACATCCCGCTCTCTGCACGTCATCACGTTGATGACGTGCAGAGAGCGGGAGCTCAACGTACACGTCCCAAACAGATAAGATCACAACAATAGCATGTGTTCATAAACCACCCTTGTTCGTCTTCATACAATATGTTGGGAAGTTGCAATAAATATCAATACAATATGTTCTATATCCCTTTGTGTTGTTTCTCTCCTTCGTCTGTTAAGATAACTGAACATTTTGTGAGTCTGGAGGCATTGTCAGCCTTTATATCTCATTTGTAAATGCTTAATAAGCCATAGATAGTGCTCACTTTAGATAAGCTCATGCAAAATACTTAATTAACGAGTAGTAAGTGCTTTGTAACTGTGAATTCCTGCATTAATCACTGTTTATAGGCCATCATTAGAAAATGAATTTGTTGTGGGTTTTATAGAACATCTGCTAACACAGTCACTAATCATTAATACATGTCTGAATAGTGGATGCAAGTGCATGCAGAAATGTACAGTACAATGAAGAGTAAAACATTTATAACTGTGATTATAAACCACATAGTAATGACTATTTACAGCAGAATCATGCTTTATAAATGATGGATTCAGTATTTACTAATCCATAACTAATGTGCTTATCAATGATGAATAAAACGTTTTTAACTGTGTTTATAAACTACATACTAATGTGTATTCATGCGTTATAAATGATGAATTCAGTATTTATTCATGCTTAACTAATGCTTAATAGTGTGTACTCATTATAAAGTGTTAGCCTAAATGGTGGTTACCATATTTTATTCAAGACTATAATTATATATATAAATTGATACATATAATAAAACTGTGGCATCATAATCTGTTATATTGTTATTTTTAAGCTATTCTTTGAACAAGAATAACAGTATTTTGGAAATATTTTGGAACATATTTGAGACGTTTTGTAGCTTTTAAACTTGGAAAAAGAGATTCAAAGACAAAAACAATAAATGATCAAATTACTGACATAATGCTGTTTTAATGTCGATAAATGCAACTACATAACAAACATAAAACATAAAAGCAATGACGAATGTTTAAATCAAAAACAAAACAGTTTTACATTTAATCAGTTAATCAGCCATCAGTCTGCAGTCTACAGTGAGTCAAGAAAGACGAAGGAAATGTTTTGTTGTTGTCTCTTATCTGTCCAAATCTGTTTATTGAAATGCTGATTACAGGAACAATCTTCCTAATCTTTACTTTTTTTACAGGGACCAGGAGTTATTGAACAGCATGATAGAGTTCACTGAGATCCAGGAAGAAATACCTGATTCCAAGAATAAAAGTGTGAAACAGTTTCACTTTCTAATGTAAAAGGAGCTCTGAAAAGACTCTATAATGGTGACATATAAGAATAATTCAGCCTTTTTACTAAATATTTTACTGCTGTTTTAATGTACTGTATCTAATATAAGTTTTCCTTTGGTGTTTGTTGTGTGACGACCCTGTGAGTGAACTCCTCGAGGAGCCTGGCAGGTGGAGTCGGGTCATCAGGAAGATTTAGCTCACCTGGTCTGGTTGCAAGACTATATAAGCTGGATGCAGTCAGCCAGTGTCTCTGCCCAGTCTCTGCTGAAACCTTACTGTTTATGGTAAATGTCCTTAATGGTTTCCAGCTGCGCACCGCTGACATGCCTGGCCGCCTTGACGACCCACTACAGATGTAAAGAATCCCTGTGGCAGCCTCATTTTAAAATCCAGAATCACAACCTAACATCATACAAGTTCTTGGTAGACTTTGCACCCTCTTATAATATCCCATTAGTCAAGCAGTGGCAGTCAGTGACACACTGTGTAAAATGCTTATGTTGACACTATTCTGAAGGCTTGAGTGTTGCTTCTGTCTGTGAAGATGTGAGTTTGCTGTATGTATGTCAGCCAATTCACGCCTGGATACATGCTGAGATGCAAATATATATGCTGTGAAAGATGAGTCTTTGAGGAAGTTTATTTGTAGCTCATCTGATGGTTTCTACAAAGTTTCACTGCCACAGGTGTGGTCCCAGAGGTGCAGAGAGAGGGCGGAAGTGACTCTCTAAAGAGGATATGTTTAGAAAGGCCAGGAAATTGAAAAACCGTCAGAGCGTAACTGATAACAGAAGTTCACGGTATGTTGACTTGATGTTGTGTTATTTTAGATGTTCTAGAGTTGTGACTCAAACGACAACAAAATCCTCAAAAGCCCTTTATGTTTGTCACAAGTCCACTATCACTCATATTCATATTCACTTTTAAAGGCTGTACAAACATCTTATCCATTGTATCATATCTATTAAAAGCAAATAGGATCAACAAAATGACCAATGTGAATAACCACAGACAGAATGTATCTATTTCTACTTCAGTAAAATCTGTTATTAATGTATCAATTAAAAGTTGATACTACACTTCACTAACACATGATAATGGAACTTAAAGTGTAAAGTAATTGAGAACTTCTGTAAACATAATGTAACAACAGTGCACATATTTATTCATTTATTTAAACAATTAGGAATTACAGTTATATTTTTTAGTCTTACAGGTTGCAGAGAAATCCATTTTCACTGACTCAGTCAATCATTACATGAGAACCATTTGATTTGGAATATTTACAGTATATTATCGATTCTGCACGTTTTTAAAACTACATAAAAAAGACAAAAAACAAACAAAGTCATGCAGTCTGTCTCACTGTGCATCTCTCTCCTTCTTTATTATTTCTTCATCTGAAAAAAAAAAACAGAACATAAATCAATTAAATATATTAATTTGTCAAAGTTGTACAGTTTGCTTGACCACTTCAATCTGGAGTTCCCCCAGCTCTTCTATACAGTCGATACTTGTGGCCAGCAGATTCACTGCACTGATGTTCTATAACAATTATATGAACTGTTGGGCTGGATGATTGGTTCATTTTAATAACATTTCTTAAGAACTTCAAAACAAACTTATTAGTATGACAAGCTTCATCCTCATGCAGGACAGCTTCACTATTGTTGATGTGTTAAATAAAGATGCTATCTGTAATGTGTTTAATTCAATTAATTGTTAATATCTATGTATGTGCTGTGGAGCATTTAAAACACACAAACCAGCACATTTTCTCTGGTTGGAGACACTCTTCACTCTGCTGCTGCTAGATGTTGATCGGGCACATGTGCTGGTTGGCCGTGCTCAACTTCAGAACAGAGGCAGTGAAATGAAGTGATGCGTTTTACGTCACTTTACTGTGAAACTGTGTTTATCAAAATCAGCACAATAAAGCTGAAATATCCCAGTTGTCACATTTTTACTTTATCACGATGTTATTGGCACATAGAGTAATACACCAGCCAGAAATAATGATTTGGTGTCAATTAACCGTTGATATATTGCTGATAATCAGTTTAAATTGTTCTGGTTTTTGTCTCTTTTGTCAGGTTTTATAAATGGATGCATTCATTTGTATTACTGCATAAAACTGTCTTTTATGTTTGTGATTTTTATTGTTTGCCTGACTGAGCTTTATTTGATCAAACTGTTTACTTATTTTCAGTGAATATATAAATTCTGTATTATATCCTACAGAGGTTTTAGTATGACTGAAATGCAGAACAGGCCTGCATGTTTACCTTGACCAGGCTGAATATCATGTTATAGAAGAGAGAGGATATGAAGAGGAATATGAAGGAGGAGGCTGTGGACCACAGACTGCTGAACTCATCCTCTTCATCTGTGCAGCTCAGAGCACAACTCAGTTCTGACTCTGGATCAAAATCTAAGAAGAGGAAGGTATAGGTGGTTAGATGAGAGGTGTGTGTGTGTGTAAACACAGGTTTTTATTAAGATAACTGATAGACGTTTGTCTCCTTTAAATAGTGCTCATAAACTGGAATCGAGCATTATTCACTCTTTGATCACACGTCTTGTGTGGACATTTCTCCAGTTGAACAGTGGAAGAGAACAGTATACAGAGTCACTGTATACTGTTTTCAGCTTGTTTTAAAATACTGAAGTAATTCATGAACATGTAACACAAGGGTCCCCATGCAACATTTATTTGAAACAGTCAGCACCCTTCTCAAGCTGTTAAACATTGTGACAAAGACAGATTGAAACACAAACAGTCATGACAAACAAAACTAAACTGACATGTTGACTCTGATTATTTCTTACAATCACAAAGACTGATGACATCACAGAGTGCACAGGTTCCCATGACAGAGAGTACACACAATGACAGAACAACACATCAGCACAAAATGCCACATTTAAAGCTCAATGTACTATTTGTCACATTCAAGGGAGTTACCCTGGGCCTTAGACACAGCTCGTGATTTCATGGACGAATTGCTGCCAGCAACCCAGACGTGGCAATTAAACACGTTCCCAGGGGTCTCCCACTTTGCCTTGGTTGGGGTGTAAACACTTGTTACTAAGTAGCCATCCTTGGTCTTCTGTGGGGGAAGTTAATGCCATCCTCATAGATGCCAGGGGTTTTTTTCAATGTATTCTGACCAGGCGATGTAGGAATCCTGAAGCACAGGACTGAAGACCAGACACACCAGACTGACCTCAGCTTCTTTATTGACTTCTTCTGGTAGAACGTGGACTGTCACTTTTGTCTTACTTACATCTGAAAGAGATACTCAGTTTACCAGTCCATATATAATCTTTATGTTTGCTGTATATAGCTAATGAAATGTTTGTATGTGTAGGTTGGCTACCTCCCCAGACTTACAGAATACTGTTCTGCCAATAAGTCTCCATCAGTCAGAAACATACCTCCTTTGTGGACAGTGAGATCTTGAACAACTGTAGTCATGTCTTCTCTAGCAGCAGAACAGCGCACTTTGTTGACTCCCTGCCACTCAGTGCGATTACGACTCATTGTGCTGGTTTTGCTGTGCTGATCACCATCGGACGATACTCGTGATTCTATATTTTCTGCCACAGTTTGTCCATCAATTTGCCAAGTGATTTGGATTTCATCTACAATGGACTTGTCTCGTCCAGTGACGATGCACTCCAACTTTGCCTCGTTGTTACTGAAAATTTCTTTGGCACTTGGTTGGTTCAGTGTCACTGTGACAGTAGCTACAGGAAAGAGAACAACAGAGAAAACCATTTCTTAACATATGATTAATACAAGAGTAAAAACTCTCATACAGTGTTCTATTACTTTATGTCTCTAACTATGACTACTAGCTGAGTTACAGTACAACAGTATTATGTTATGACTGTAGAAGTACCTTTAGAGGCAATCTTTTTATATTGTTTTCCTCTGTGCGTCGCCACACATTTGTAAACAGCATTACTGTTCCAGTCTGTGTTCTTGACCTTCAGGACACTGACAGCTGAATATACATCTCCATTTAATACAGGGTCCCAGTTAGTGCCAGCTACATCGTCCTGATTCTTTTTCCAGTTGACTGTCAAGTTGTTTGGAAAGAAATCCTCAATTGTACACACCAGGGCCTGAGAGTCTCCCCTTGGCTCTGATACCAAAGTTACCTTTGGAGGGACTGGGTCGCCTAAGCAGGTGGAAGAAAGAGCAGATCAGCACATCAGCCTGTAATTATTCATTTTAGAATTTTTTAGAGAATAGTGTAAAATACCAGACAGATGAGAGTAAACATGAGAAACATTAAGGGTATTCTGTTTGATATTATATTCCATCTCAATTTACTGGCAATCGCAGGATTGTTATGGAATTATTCATCAGTTATCATTACCATTAGCTTTTCTTTAATACATTTAGTCTAAAAAATGTAAAATGTGTAAACATGCTATATTCAAATCAACTCCATTTATAAATGACTGATCATAAGTCTTACGTGGCTTCACGATATCAGCCTGTGCGTTTCCTGCTGCATGTGTTGCGAGACATTGGAAAGTCTGCCTTGCGTCCCAGTCCTGTCTCCTCACTCGGATTTGACTGACCCCTGTATAAACGTTGTTTTTCTGTACTGCAGGGTACTGAATGAAGTCCGTCAATGGAGTCCCACCTTTGATCCATGAATAGGTCAGTGAGGAGGGTGTGAAGCCGGTGGCAAGACAGCCAAGAGTGACTGTGTCTCCACTCCCCGAACCACATTGCATTAGAGGAAATACAGTTGGTTTAATTGGAGTGCCTAAGAAAGGAAAAAAACGTGGAATTAAATATACCAAAATTCAACTCAACATAACATTTTTAACCAGGTCAACTGAGTTAATCAATAGCGTAACAAAACACAGCATTAAAGGCATTAACTTTTTAATAAGTTGAATATGGAAATTTCAAGTTCCCTCCATACACTTACCTGTAGGTTACATTATAACTGCTGTTCTCGGAGTGAAGAGACTATCTCTCCACCCAGCTACATATTACATATAACAGATGACATGGATAAATATTTAAGTCACGCCAGTAGTACTGGCACGCCAGGTATATAAGTCACAGGTGTGCATGATCACTCTGGTTTTTACTTGATCAACACCTGATTTTGAGCGAGCTCGAGGTGGACAGAGAATCTTTTCACACAGAGAACAACGGTTGCAACGTAACCCACAGGACGGCCAGATGTTGCATGCTGCTGTTCCTTGCACAGGTGCTACCTAAAGCCTCACTGGCCCTGCAAGATGCCAAGGTTTAGTGACTACAGGGTTAAAAGGGCCACTCAAGCCAGACAGCAGATGCAAGAATAGATCTGAGTTTGTGAATCTGAGTTCAATATTTAGTGCTGCGCACTTTTGTGAAATATAATCTTTCTTTTTCATTTTCTGGCATGGGTCCAAAGAAAAGTTCTCTGTGGGAAGTCTTGTGCAATAAAATCAACAGTGATTTTATCTCGATTCGCGGAGTTGCACTGAACAAAAGTCAGAGCAGTTTCGTTCAAAGTGGAGATTTTTAGTTTAAGTTTTGCATCATTAATACAGACACACATTAGATGATCAGTTTCTCATTTAAAAGCAAATGATTTGTTGAATTAAATGTCAGAATGTTAACGTTCATTACACATTGTTGAAAATGTCATTTTTTTTACATTTATGACTTCTAATACTTCAAATATATTCACAATAATAATAATAATAATAATAATAATAATAATAATAATAATAATAATAATGATGAAGACTGTGATTAAAAAAATCATAATTGTAAACACCACTCATTGTAGGAGGATTTAAACGGTTTACAAACTGAAACGTAAATCATTCTTTACCATTTTTAAGGAACAAAACACAGTTTAGCTTAAAAATCTTTCCGATATATTTTAACTGTAACAATTGAAGCTGTTGCCATATCAGATTTTAACTACACAGTTGTCATAGCCAAAATTATGTACATAATAACGATATTATCATGATATCTATAGAGAATCAGAGAAAAAAGCTACAACTCAAATTCATCTTTAACTTTTTTTGTGTGTTTTGTCTCTTTTTGTGGCCAATAAATTAAACTCAAAGAACCAGTGTAGGGAGGAGGTAGACATAAATCTACTAAAGTGAACAAAAATAACAGTTACACTGAGTATAAATCAGAGAGAGAGAATGGAAAGAAATAGAAGTCATTTAGGAGGCGCGGGATTATTCATCATACATATATTATTAAGGTGATATCATTATTTCATTAATTAATTGTGACGTTTATTATCAATATTGGTGTATCACGACACCCCTAACTTATAAAGGAATAATTGATTGTTAAATAATATTATAAATAAAAGAAATAAAATTGTCTTTGGGAAGAATTAAAAATCACTATATATGAAACGATTCCTCCAAAAACTAAAATAGATGATTAACAATTGAACCTACAGTGAAAATACTGTCCTTTAAAATACACTTTCTCCTGTGGTATTTTAAAAAGAAACTACACACGATATAAAAGTGTGTACTTAATTATGTCCCTGTTCAGTGTTCAGTTGTTTCATTAAAATGCATACTGAACCTGTATTTAAACACACTAATAAAATGTAATTTGCTATGTTTTAATTGACTTCCTATATAAAAATGCAGGTACAATAAGGTACATAATCAATATCCACAGTTATAAATTATTATTTGTAAATTATGTGAATATAAGGATGCAGACATTCATCAGAAGCAATTACAATCCAACTGAATAAAATGTAAGATAAAAACAAACCCCCTCCTGCATTAAGTGATAATAACAAAGAATTCTTTTTTCAAAGGCTTTCTAAGAAACAGCTGCATTAAAAACATCTGTCGGCTCTGTTTTCTAGTTATTGTCCAACATCAGTACAAACCTGAATAACACCATTAGTTAAACTTCTTTGCCAATAATCAGAATAATCACATTTTAAAAAGTAAAATAAAAATATGATGTTTAACAGTGACTTACCTGAAGATACTGTGACCTGAGTCCCACGACCCCAGTAGTCGAAAGCATCACAGTGCTACATCTCCACTCACTGCTTGAACAAAAACCTGATGTACCACAAAAAGGTGTTAAAACCTCATTAAGTGTTTGAAATAAACAGAAATCCTGGTCAGTATGACACCCTGGTGTCCTGCTGTGTGATGTGCTTTGTATTGATTCTAAATCAATAATTAAATTAAAAATTTACTTGATGGTAACATTTACATCTGTGCGCTAACTGTGACTTTTAACTACTAATTAACTAATGTTTAATGACTAATTTGCTTATTAAAATAGATGAACACAGTAGTTACCTCAAGTTGGAACTAGAAATATTTTGTCCTGTCCTTTTCTTCCATCACAAGAATGTCAGAGTGTAAGACTATAGCTCTTAGGTTTTTGTATGGATCTAGATCACAGTGACCACCCAGCCATCACAGTGATAAACCCTAATACAAAAACCAAATGCTGCACTGGAGACTCTGGGGACCTGTACTGTCAGCAGTGGGTAAGAATAATACAAAACTCAAATTATAATATAACAAAATATGTTTTATGTTATAAATTGGAGAATTTGCATTTTGCATCATACTCATAGTTCAATAAGTGTATCTTTGTTATAGTATTTTTTAAAGTTATTAATTATTCCACTTCTCCGATGAAACACCAACCCACTAAATGGTGGTTACCATAATTTATTTCAGACTATAATAATGTATATAATTATATATATAATAAAACTGTGGCATCATAATCTGCTATATTTTATTTTTAAAGGGACACTTCACCCATTTGCATTAGGCTTTGTATCATTAGAACCCCAGTCATATTTTTGAATGGTCGTGCATCATCGCCTCACTTCCCCTGAGAGGGGAGAAATACAGATTTTAATGTTGCACTTCCTGCTTTCAGTGATGTAAAAATCGTCATTTTGCGTCACTGGAAGCAGGAAGTCTCATATCCCTGTAGAGGGGGTGAGACTACAAACACTACTTCCTCATTTTTTTTTCACTCACGCTACAGACCTATTACAGATCAGTGGGTGGGACTTCACTTGCAGAAACAAAAAAATATAACCGCCATCTTGTTTGGAAGCTAAGCGGAGGCACTGTCGAGCCAGACGTTATGCTAATCAATGTAATATGGAAGAAATTTCGAAAGTATGATGGTTGAATCAGATGTTCGTGGCTACCTTTATGAGCCGCAATATAGCGAAGAGCAGCTGAGGCTGAACAGCAGGCGGCTGAGGATGCTGCAGCCGAGGCAGAGGACCTGCCTGTCGCGGACGAGGAGCCCGGACTGGCTCGAGCTGGGGCGGACTGCTGGTGCCTGTGCTCTCGCTGTGCGCCTACGGACACACGGACGTCTGACTGTAAAGTGAGTGTTTCTTCCAGATGGCCAGTACTGCGGACACCAAGAAGTTGAGGACGCTCAGGAGGAACTATAACTGTCATTGTTGACATATTTATTTTTGTGGTTGTTGATATATTTCTGTAAATAAATGGTTTACATTTACGTTGTTGTAGTCCTTGATAGTGTTAGTGGGAGCGGCTTGCAGAGCTGTACATTGTGGGAGTTGTTGTCTTTAATACAAATGCGCCCTAAAGTCACTTTCTGTCTTTTCTCGGTCAAATAGGCACCAAATTCAAAATGTATGTTACATTTCGACTACATATATAACCCACTTTCAATAAATATTAATGTTTCCACGGGTGAATTAAGAATTAAGCTATTCTTTTAACAAGAACAACAGTATTATGTAAATATTTTTGTGGCCTTTGAACTGGGAAAAAGAGATTCAAAGACACAAAAACAATATATGATAAAATCAATGACATAATGTTGTTATAATGTCGATAAATACAAATACATAACAAACATAAAATATAAAAGCAATGACGAATGTTTAAATCAAAAACAAAACTGTTTTAAATTTGGTCAGTTGGTCAGCCATCAGTCTGCAGTCTACAGTGAGTCAAGAAAGACTAAATAAATGTTTTGTTGTTGTCTCTCTTTTTGAAATGCTGATTACAGGAACAATCTTCCTAATCTTTACTTTTTTTACAGGGACCAGAAGTGATTGAACAGCATGATAGAGTTCACTGAGATCCAGGAAGAAATACCTGATTCCAAGAATAAAAGTGTAAAACAGTTTCACTTTCTAATGTAAAAGGAGCTCTGGAAAGACTCTATAAAGGTGACATATAAGCATAATTAAGCCTTTTTACTATACTGTATCTTATATAAGTTTTCCTTTGGTGTTTGTTGTGTGACGACCCTGTGAGTGAACTCCTCCAGGAGCCTGGCAGGTGGAGTCGGGTCATCAGGAAGATTTAGCTCACCTGGTCTGGTTGCAAGACTATATAAGCTGGATGCAGTCAGCCAGTGTCTCTGCCCAGTCTCTGCTGAAACCTTACTGTTTATGGTAAATGTCCTTAATGCTTTCCAGCTGCTCACCGGTGACATGCCTGGCCGCCTTGATGACCCACTACAGATGTAAAGAATCCCTGTGGCAGCCTCATTTTAAAATCCAGAATCACAACCTAACATCATACAAGTTCTTGGTAGACTTTGCACCCTCTTATAATATCCCATTAGTCAAGCAGTGGCAGTCAGTGACACACTGTTCAAAATGCTTATGTTGACACTATTCTGAAGGCTTGAGTGTTGCTTCTGTCTGTGAAGATGTGAGTTTGCTGTATGTATGTCAGCCAATTCACGCCTGGATACATGCTGAGATGCAAATATATATGCTGTGAAAGATGAGTCTTTGAGGAAGTTTATTTGTAGCTCATCTGATGGTTTCTACAAAGTTTCACTGCCACAGGTGTGGTCCGAGAGGTGCAGAGAGAGGAGGGAAGTGACTCTCTAAAGAGGATATGTTTAGAAAGGCCAGGAAATTGAAAAACCTTCAGAGCTTAACTGATAGCAGAAGTTCACGGTATGTTGACTTGATGTTGTGTTATTTTAGATGTTCTAGAGTTGTGACTCAAACGACAACAAAATCCTCAAAAGCCCTTTATGTTTGTCACAAGTCCACTATCACTCATATTCATATTCACTTTTAAAGGCTGTACAAACATTGTAAATATCATATCTATTAAAAGCAAATAGGATCAACAAAATGACCAATGTGAATAACCACAGACAGAATGTATCTATTTCTACTTCAGTAAAATCTGTTATGAATGTATCAATTAAAAGTTGATACTACACTTCACTAACACATGATAATGGAACTTAAAGTGTAAAGTAATTGAGAACTTCTGTAAACATAATGTAACAACAGTGCACATATTTATTCATTTATTTAAACAATTAGGAATTACAGTTATATTTTTGAGTTTTACAGGTGGCAGAGAAATCCATTTTCACTGACTCAGTCAATCATTACATGAGAACCATTTGATTTGGAATATTTACAGTATATTATTGATTCTGCACGTTTTTAAAACTACATAAAAAGACAAAACAAACAAAGTCATGCAGTCTGTCTCACTGTGCATCTCTCTCCTTCTTTATTATTTCTTCATCTGAAAAAAAAACCAGAACATAAATCAATTAAATATATTAATTTGTCAAAGTTGTACAGTTTGCTTGACCACTTCAATCTGGAGTTCCCCCAGCTCTTCTATACAGTCGATAGTTGTGGCCAGCAGATTCACTGCAGGCGACTGATGTTCTATAACAATTATATTAACTGTTGGGCTGGATGATTGGTTCATTTTAATAACATTTCTTAAGAACTTAAAAACAAACTTATTAGTATGACAAGCTTCATCCTCATGCAGGACAGCTTCACTATTGTTGATGTGTTAAATAAAGATGCTATCTGTAATGTGTTTAATTCAATTAATTGTTAATATCTATGTATGTGCCGTGGAGCATTTAAAACACACAAACCAGCACATTTTCTCTGGTTGGAGACACTCTTCACTCTGCTGCTGCTAGATGTTGATCGGGCACATGTGCTGGTTGGCCGTGCTCAACTTCAGAACAGAGGCAGTGAAATGAAGTGATGCATTTTACGTCACTTTACTGTCAAACTGTGTTTATCAAAATCAGCACAATAAAGCTGAAATATCCCAGTTGTCACATTTTTACTTTATCACGATGTTATTGGCACATAGAGTAATACACCAGTCAGAAAAAATGATTTGGTGTCAATTAACCGTTGATATATTGCTAATAATCAGTTTAAATTGTTCTGGTTTTTGTCTCTTTTGTCAGGTTTTATAAATGGATGCATTCATTTGTATTACTGCATAAAACTGTCTTTTATGTTTGTGATTTTTATTGTTTGCCTGACTGAGCTTTATTTGATCAAACTGTTTACTTATTTTCAGTGAATATATAAATTCTGTATTATATCCTACAGAGGTTTTAGTATGACTGAAATGCAGAACAGGCCTGCATGTTTACCTTGACCAGGCTGAATATCATGTTATAGAAGAGAGAGGATATGAAGAGGAATATGAAGGAGGAGGCTGTGGACCACAGACTGCTGAACTCATCCTCTTCATCTGTGCAGCTCAGAGCACAACTCAGTTCTGACTCTGGATCAAAATCTAAGAAGAGGAAGGTATAGGTGGTTAGATGAGAGGTGTGTGTGTGTGTAAACACAGGTTTTTATTAAGATAACTGATAGACGTTTGTCTCCTTTAAATAGTGCTCATAAACTGGAATCGCGCATTATTCGCTTTTTGATCACACGTCTTGTGTGGACATTTCTCCAGTTGAACAGTGGAAGAGAACAGTATACAGAGTCACTGTATACTGTTTTCAGCTTGTTTTAAAATACTGAAGTAATTCATGAACATGTAACACAAGGGTCCCCATGCAACATTTATTTGAAACAGTCAGCACACTTCTCAAGCTGTTAAACATTGTGACAAAGACAGATTGAAACACAAACAGTCATGACAAACAAAACTAAACTGACATGTTGACTCTGATTATTTCTTACAATCACAAAGACTGATGACATCACAGAGTGCACAGGTTCCCATGGCAGAGAGTACACACAATGACGGAACAACACATCAGCACAAAATACCACATTTAAAGCTCAATGTACTATTTGTCACATTCAAGGGAGTTACCCTGGGCCTTAGACACAGCTCGTGATTTCATGGACGAATTGCTGCCAGCAACCCAGACGTGGCAATTAAACACGTTCCCAGGGGGTCTCCCACTCTGCCTTGGTTGTGGTGTAAACACTTGTTACGAAGTAGCCATCCTTGGTCTTCTGTGGGGGAAAGTTAATGCCATCCTTATAGATGCCAGGGGATTTTTCAATGTTTTCTGACCAGGCGATGTAGGAATCCTGCAGCACAGGACTGAAGACCAGACACACCAGAGTGACCTCAGCTTCTTTATTGACTTCTTCTGGTAGAACGTGGACTGTCACTTTTGTCTTACTTACATCTGAAAGAGATACTCAGTTTACCAGTCCATATATAAGCTTTATGTTTGCTGTATATAGCTAATGAAATGTTTGTATGTGTAGGTTGGCTACCTCCCCAGACTTACAGAATACTGTTCTGCCAATAAGTCTCCATCAGTCAGAAACATACCTCCTTTGTGGACAGTGAGATCTTGAACAACTGTAGTCATGTCTTCTCTAGCAGCAGAACAGCGCACTTTGTTGACTCCCTGCCACTCAGTGCGATTACGACTCATTGTGCTGGTTTTGCTGTGCTGATCACCATCGGACGATACTCGTGATTCTATATTTTCTGCCACAGTTTGTCCATCAATTTGCCAAGTGATTTGGATTTCATTTACAATGGACTCGTCTTGTCCAGTGACGATGCATTCCAACTTTGCCTCGTTGTTACTGAAAATTTCTTTGGCACTTGGTTGGTTCAGTGTCACTGTGACAGGAGCTACAGAAAAGAGAACAACAGAGAAAACCATTTCTTAACATCTGATTAATACAAGAGTAAAAACTCTCATACAGTGTTCTATTACTTTATGTCTCTAACTATGACTACTAGCTGAGTTACAGTACAACAGTATTATGTTATGACTGTAGAAGTACCTTTAGAGGCAATCTTTTTATATTGTTTTCCTCTGTGCGTCGCCACACACGTGTAAACAGCATTACTGTTCCAGTCTGTGTTCTTGACCTTCAGGACACTGACAGCTGAATATAGATCTCCAGTTAATACAGGGTCCCAGTTAGTGCCAGCTACATCGTTCTGATTCTTTTTCCAATTGATTGTCAAGTCTTTTGGAAGAAAATCTTCAACTGTACACATCAGGGCCTGAGAGTCTCCTCTTGGCACTGATACCAAAGTTACCTTTGGAGGGTCCCCTAAGCAGGTGGAAGAAAGAGCAGATCAGCACATCAGTCTGTAATTATTAATTCTAGAATTTTTAGAGATTAGAATTTACTGGCAATTGCAGGCTTATTATGTAATTATTCATCAGTTATCATTACCATTAACTTTTCTTTAATACATTTAGTTTAAAAAAAATTAAGTGTAAACATGCTATATTTAAATCAACTCCATTTATAAATGACTGATCATAAGTCTTACGTGGCTTCACGATATCAGCCTGTGCGTTTCCTGCTGCATGTGTCGCGACACATTGGAAAGGCTGCCTTGCGTCCCAGTCCTGTCTACTCACTCGGATTTGACTGACCCCCATATAAACGTTGTTTTTCTGTACTGCAGGGTACTGAATGAAGTCCGTCAACAGACTCCCATTTTTGCTCCATGAATAGGTCAGTGAGGAGGGTGTGAAGCCGGTGGCAAGACAGCCAAGAGTGACCTTGTCTCCGCTCCCGAACCACATTGCATCAGAGGAAACACAGTTGGTCGAGTTGAAGTGCCTAAGAAAGGGAAAAAAAAATGGTAATTAAATACACCAAAATTAAACTCAATATAAAAATTTTAACCAGGTCAACTGAGTTAATCAATAATGTAACAAAACACATACTCCATAACTCCATACACTGACCTGTAGGTTACATTGTAACTGCTGTTCTCTGAGTGAAGAGACTATCTCTCCACCCAGCTACATACTACATATAACAGATGACATGGATAATTATTTAAGTCACACCAGTAGTACTGGCACGTGCAGGTATATAAGTCACAGGTGTGCATGATCACTCTGGTTTTTACTTGATCCACATCTGATTTTGAGCAAGCTTGAGGTGGAGGGACACTCTTTTCACACAGAGAACAACGGTTGCAACGTAACCCACAGGACGGCCAGATGTTGCATGCTACTGTTCTTTGCACAGGTGCTACCTAAAGCATCACTGGCCCTGCAAGATGCCAAGGCTTAGTGACAACAGGGTTAAAAGGGCCACTCAAGCCAGACACCAGATGCAAGGATGGATCTAAGTTTGTGAATCTGAGTTCAATATTTAGTGCTGCGCACTTTTGTAGAATATAATCTTTTTCTTTTTCATTTTCTGGCATTGGTCCAAAGAAAAGTTCTCTGTGGGAAGTCTTGTGCAATAAAATCAACAGTGATTTCATCTCGATTCGCGGAGTTGCACTGAACAAAAGTCAGAGCAGTTTCGTTCAAAGTGAAGATTTTTAGTTTAAGTTTTGCATCATAAATACACACATACATTAGATGTTCAGTTTCTCATTTAAAAGCAAATGATTTGTTGAATTAAATGTCAGAATGTTAACGTTCATTACACATTGTTGAAAATGTCATTCTTTTTTTACATTTATCACTTCTAATATTACAAATATATTCATAATAATAATAATAATAATAATAATAATAATGAAGACTGTGACTAAAAAAATCATAATTGCAAACATCAAAAACACCCCTCATTGTAGGAGGATTTAAATGGTTTACCAATTGAAACATAAATCATTCTTTACCATTTTTAAGGAACAAAACACAATTTAGCTTAAAAATATTTCCGATATATTTTTAACAGTAACTATTGAAGCTGTCGCCATATCAGATTTTCACTACACAATTGTCATAGCCAAAATTATTTACATAATAATGATATTATCATGATATCTATAGAGAATCAGAGAAAAAAAGCTACAACTCAAATTCATCTTTAACTTTTTTTTGTGTGTTTTGTCTCTTTTTGTGGCCAATAAATTAAACTCAAAGTACCAGTGTAGGGAGGAGGTAGACATAATCTGATATAAATCTACTAAAGTGAATAAAAAGAACAGTTACACTGAGTATAAATCGGAAAGAGAGAATGGAAAGCAATATAAGACATTTAGGAGGTGCTGGATTATTCATCATACATATATTATTAAGGTGATATCATTATTTCATTAATTAATTGTGATGGTTATCATCAATACTGGTGTATCACAACATCCCTAACTTATAAAGGAATAATTCATTGTTAAATAATAATATTATAAATAAAAGAAAGAAAATTGTCTTTGGGAAGAATTAAAAACCACTATATATGAAACGATTCCTCCAAAAACTAAAATAGATGATTAACAATTGAACCTACAGTGAAAATACTGTCCTTTAACAGACACTTTCTCCTGTGGTATTTTAAAAAGAAACTACACACGATATAAAAAGTGTGTACTTAATTATGTCCCTGTTCAGTGTTCAGTTGTTTAATTAAAATGCATACTGAACCTGTATTTAAACACACTAATAAAATGTAATTTGCTATGTTTTAATTGACTTCCCATATAAAAATGCAGGTACAATAAGGTATAGATTAATATCCACAGTTATAAATTATTATTTTTAAATTATGTGAATATAAGGATGCAGACATTCATCAGGTGCAATTAATATCCAACTGAATAAAATGTAAGATAAAAAAAATAAACCCTCCTGCATTAAGTGATAATAACAAAGAATTATTTTTTCAAAGGCTTTCTAAGAAACAGCTGCATTAAAAACATCTGTCGGCTCTGTTTTCTAGTTATTGTCCAACATCAGTATAAACCTGAATAACACCATTAGTTAAACTTCTTTGCCAATAATCAGAATAATCACATTTTAAAAAGTAAAATAAAAATATGATGTTTAACAGTGACTTACCTGAAGATACTGTGACCTGAGTCCCACGACCCCAGTAGTCGAAAGCATCACAGTGCTACATCTCCACTCACTGCTTGAACAAAAACCTGATGTACCAGAAAAAGGTGTTAAAAACTCATTAAGTGTTTGAAATAAACAGAAATCCTGGTCAGTATGACACCCTGGTGTCCTGCTTTGTGATATGCTTTGTATTGATTCTTAATTAATAATTCAATTTAAAATTTACTTGATGGTAACATTTACATCTTGTGCAAACTGTGACTTTTAACTACTTATTAACTAATGTTTAATTACTAACTTGCTCATTAAAATAGATAAACACAGTAGTTACCTCAAGTTGGAACTAGAAATATTTTGTCCTGTCCTTTTCTTCCATCACAAGAATGTCAGAGTGTAAGACTATAGCTCTTAGGTTTTTGTATGGATCTAGATCACAGTGACTCCCAGCCATCACAGTGATAAACCCTAATACAAAAACCAAATGCTCCACTGGAGACTCTGGGGACCTGTACTGTCAGCAGTGGGTAAGAATAATACAAAACTCAAATTCTAATATAACAAAATATGTTTTATGTCATAAATTGGCAAATTTGCATTTTGCATCATACTCATAGTTCAATAAGTGTATCTTTGTTTTTAAGTATTTTTTTAAAAACTATTAATATATCACTTCTCCAATGAAACACTAAGCAACTAAATGGTGGTTACCATATTTTATTCAAGACTATTATTATATATATAAATAGATACATATAATAAAACTGTGGCATCATAATCTGTTATATTGTTATTTTTAAGCTATTCTTTAAACAAGAAATATTTTGGAACATATTTGAGACATTTTGTAGCTTTTAAACTTGGAAAAAAAAAAAAAAAAAAAAAAAATGTAGCCAGGTGAACATGGGTTACACAGGGGTTTTCTCCTTAACAAGTGCTTTGTAATTTGCTTGTGGGATTAGTACTGTAGTAGCGTTCTTTTTCCCTCAAGGGGGCATTGTTACGCTATGGGCAGCGGAAAAGGGAAATCGCGTGTGAGAGCATAGTTTTGCCGAGACACCAGAAACAAGGAAGTGGCAGTACCAGGAGGTGACTGACTGCCGTGGTGTGTATCTTTGTTTATGTTTCAGATAAATATCCCTATAAATTTCGGTAAAATATGAAAATGGTTATAAGGGTCAGCAGATGAGATAACGATTAATTTAGAAGACTTAAGGCTGATTAATGATGATTTTGTATTCCTGACGATTTCTGTAGATCTGTAAATGAGTTTGTGTGCGTATCTCCGCCACGCTGAGGGCAACACTGAACAGCGGGGTTAGCGTGAGTAATGATAAAGCACATGTATAAACAGAATTATCTCATTTCAATGTATGCTGACTGATTAAATAAGCTATGTCCATTTGTATGTTTTCTGCCTAATTTAGAGGGGAGATATATGCGTGTTGAATTCCAGGTGTGTGTCTTGGAACACAGGCTGCACACTGGAGTGAAAGTGAGTTAATTGTACTACTAAATTGTTTCTGAATTGTAAGAATGTGTAAATGGAGAGAATATTTTGTATTGAATGTATTTTTATATTTCTCATGCAATTGAAGTATTTTATGTTGAAGTGACTATGAGTTACGTGGCTTAACAAATGTTTTTATTTTCTTTATTTAGAGAGGTGCCACTACTGTTGTCTAGAGTTAGCTAATGTCTGAAGTTCAGTTTAATGAAGTAAATGAAGCTGTATGAGTTTGAGCCTGGTAACTGTAGCTGGGGGTAGTCTACATACACCATTGTTCATCAACTGCTAAGGAGAACTGTTAAAGCAGATGCTTGTTGCCAGACAAGGAATAGGGAAAAGTTATCATTCCGTTTTGTTATATCTGTCCTAAATCCTCAAGAAACAATATTAATGCTGTTCTTTATTAAGCTCAGTCGGGGAATAAAAGAACCCACAAAAATAATTTTATTTGTGTACGGTCTCATCATTCTTGACCAGGCCACACATTTTGGTGTCAGAAGTGGGATCCCCTGTTAGATTTTGAGGTTTTAGTTTGGATAAGGACAGTGAGCATCTAGACAACAGTAGTGGTGACCAACAGTCCAGATCTGGTACCAGAGGGTGTGACGTCGGCCGGGTGGTGTTCCTGGAGAGGCGGTCTGTAACCCGTGGCTGGTGGGCGAAGACGAGAGGTGTCTGCAGGCTGCCGGAGGAGGGGACTGCCCAACGTCACATTCTGTGACAGTGCAGGACAGAGGACATTGAACCGGTTGTGACTGTTATTTTGCAGCAATAAAGACAGAGTAAGAGACACTTCAGAATGTCGGATGAAGACGAGGGGGCAGCTGCTCCTAGGCCGGGAACCAGCCGGGATGAAGATAACCCAGCTGCTTCTTTACATGCTGATGGAGGTAATCCTTTGGCACAGCTGCAGTCACAGATTTTGGAACTGAGTAGAAAACATGATGCAGTAATGTCAAGTATTACTAATTTGGGTGATGTTCAAACAAGGTCTATCGTTTACATTCCCAGAGAAAAACAGATTGTACCTTTTAGTGGTGAACCAGGGATAGATGCTCACACTGTAGACGAGTTTATAGAGGAGGTGGAGCGGGTGATGAGAGCAAGGAGTCTGCGTGGAGAAGAACAAGTAGACTTTATTCTCTCATTGCTAAAAGGCTCAGCCTTAGAGGAGGTGAAACTACGTATGGGAGGACAGGCTAAGCAACCCAGTGATCTGTTCTCATACTTGAGAGGAGCCTTTAGAGAGAAGCGCACTACTCCACAACTGTTACATGCTTTCTATGCTCGTAGACAAGTAGATGGGGAGGACTTGCGCGATTATTCACATGCTCTCTCACAGCTGCTCAATTCTGCTCTCCAACAGTCTCCTAATGCAGTAGCTGATGCACAGCTAGCACTTAGAGATCAGTTCATCGAAGGGATACGCGACTCCACTCTTCGCCGCGAGTTGCGTAGGCTTATCAGAGAGAAGCCCGACTCTAATCTGTTTGATGTACGGGAAGAGGCCATGATGTGGACTCTCGAAGACCGTCCACGGAACACTAATGTGGCAAGGAACCGAAACCTAGTGGGTGGCAGCACAGACGAGATCTCAGAACAGACTAACTTGACCAGTAGCACACAGGCTGACTTGACTGTGACTTTGCAAGAAGTGGTAAAGATAATTGCGCAACAGGGAAAAGCTATTGGTGAACTGACCAATGCTGTCAAAGAACTCACTATACAGAATGCCAGTTCAGAAGGTGGTAGTAGGGGTGGTCGACCTAAAATCCAGCCCAAGTACACTAATGACGGTCAGCCAATCTGTCTCCGGTGTGAAGGGGTGGGGCATATGGCAAGACAGTGCACTGCATCGCGCAAACCAGGAAGTCAGTCTCCCGTTATGCCTAGTCCTGCGGTGCAGGGAAACAGGGGCCCTCCATTGCTATGAGCCGGGCAATGCGAGGCAAGTCAGAAGGCTCAAAGAACACTCTAACCAAAGAACACTTTCTGGAAAGGGCTGTGGGCCAGTGCCCCGAAGTAGATGTCCAGATAGGTGGTGTCCACCTTAGGTGTTTGTTGGACACAGGGAGTAATGTAAGCACCTTGACAGAAAGCTTCTTCAGAGACCATCTTCATGGAGAAGATGAAGATATGCACTTTACAGCTAAGTGGCTTAAAATAACAGCAGCCAACAAGTTGCCACTACCCTACTTAGGCTATGTTGAGCTGGACATGCAAGTAATGGGGCTCACCATCCCAGAGTGTGGTTTCCTAATAATCAAAGATGATGGGACCAAAGAACCAGATTCATCTCCACCTGGCATTATTGGAATGAACATTGCCAAGCGGTGCAGACAGCTAGTACTCTCAGAGTTTGACACAACTCTAGGTGCAGGGTTAAATTCTGTTTGGAGAGAGGCCTTCCAGCGAGTACAAGAGGCAGAGCTTATTGAAAAGGCGTCCACTGCTCGTGTAGCAGGCAAACATAAAGTGCATATACCAGCCTCATCTGTTGCCACAGTCCATGCAAGGGGATTTAGGAGACCGTCTGATGGTGACTCCAGCATACTTCTTGAGCCGGGGAACACTCCCTGCCTGGCGGGTTGATAGTTGTCCCTACTGTGGTCTCATCCAACAGTCATGTGTTCCCAGTCCAAGTCATTAACCTCTCCCAGGAAGATGTCTGGTTGTCCCCTAAGACTAGACTAGGTATTCTTAGCCAGTGTCAGTGTATTGAGGGTGACCCCTATGAGGTGAAGTTTCAACGTATTTCCTCTAGCCATGAGGAGGTGACAGTCACCCGAAAGGACAATAAAGAATGTGACAGTGACATGCAGAGCTTACTGGGCCGACTACACCTAGGGGGGGACACCAGAGCAACAGGCAGAGCTAGGAGTGCTCTTGATGAGATATGCAGATGTGTTTGCAGCTCAGGACGAGGACCTAGGATATACTGATCAGGTGAAACATGAAATCCCTGTGGTGGATGAATCACCTGTCTCCCAACCCTACCGGCGCATACCCCCTAATCAATACCAAGAGGTCAGGGAGCACATTTCTGAACTGTTGAGAAAGGGAGTGATTCAAGAGAGCTCAAGCTCCTACGCTTCACCTATTGTTTTGGTGCGCAAGTCTGATGGGACTCTGAGACTATGCGTAGACTACAGACGGCTGAATGCAAAGACCAGACGCGATGCGTTTCCACTCCCGCGCATTGATGAAAGTCTGGATGCTTTGAGTGGGGCCAAATTCTTCTCAACGATCGATCTTGCAAGCGGATACCACCAGGTTGCGGTACATGAGAAGGACAGGAACAAAACAGCGTTCACTACGCCATTTGGCCTCTATGAGTATCTGAGGATGCCTTTCGGGTTGTGTAACGCGCCCGCTACATTCCAACGCCTAATGCAAGCTACAATGAGTGATCTAGTTTTCCAGATAGTGTTAGTCTATTTGGATGACTTGCTTGTGTTTTCACCAACATTCCAGGATCACCTAGTGAGACTAGAGACTGTCCTTAAGAGACTGAGGGATACGGGGCTAAAAGTAAAAGTGGAGAAGTGTCACTTTCTTCAGTCGGAGGTCAGGTTTCTTGGTCACCAAGTCTCATCCCAGGGCATAGGCACAGATCCTGATAAAATATGTGCAGTGAAGTTGTGGCCCATCCCTAGTACTGTAAAAGAGCTTAGGTCGTTTTTGGGTTTTTGCAGTTACTATAGGAGGTTTATTGAGGGTTTTTCCCAAATTGCAGGGCCTCTTCATGATGTGGTAAATACCTGTATGAAAGAGTGTAACCAGGCTAAGGTTAATCAGAAGTTCAGGTCAGCCTGGACCCCACAGAGTCAACTAGCCTTTGAGCTGCTTAAAGAAAAGCTAACTAGCGCCCCCACACTAGGCTACGCAGACTTTACCCGCCCTTTCTTACTAGAGACAGATGCTAGTAGCTTAGGTTTGGGTGCTGTTCTCTACCAAGAGCAGGGGGGTAGGAAGAAAGTTATAGCCTATGCCAGTCGGAGGCTTAGAGGGGCTGAAAAAAATGACCAAAACTACAGCAGCATGAAGCTGGAACTCCTTGCACTAAAGTGGGCTGTCACAGAAAAATTTAGGAGCTACCTCCTGGGCTCTAAGTTTACTGTCATCACAGATAACAACCCCCTTTGCCACCTCTCCACTGCCAATTTAGGAGCCGTTCAGCAGCGATGGGTCGCTCAGCTAGCTGTGTTTGATTTCGATGTGAAGTATCGTCCTGGCCGATGTAATACTGCAGCTGATGCTCTGTCCCGGCAACCAGTAGTTGATGGACCTGAACCTGTCAGTGAGGATGCAGAGTACGATGGGTGCGTAGCGATATGTAATGCCCTTAGGACAGGCACAGAGCTAGGCCTGGATTTAGTAACTGCTGGGGTAGAGCACTGTAAGATCGGGCAGCTATGTGCATCTGAGGCAGGTGAGACAGTGATAAGTGAGGCAGTTCAGGATAACACACCCACTTTGCCTGGATATTCGAAAGCAGAACTACAGAGCTTTCAAGCAGCTGACCCAACAATTAGAGTGTTACGAGAATTTTGGAGCCAGCAAAAGAAACCTACCTACCAGGAGAAAGCAGATTTTCCTAAACCAGTGCGCTCCTTGTTGAGGCAGTGGCCTCGGATTAGAGAAAGGGATGGACTCTTGTACCGGGTGATGGAGGATGTTCACCTCGGAAGGTGTCACCAACTGTTGTTGCCAGCCTGCCTCAAAGAACAAGTGCTCAAAAGTGTGCATGACCAGATGGGGCATCAGGGTATAGAGCGGACCCTGGGTCTAGTGAGACAGAGATGCTTTTGGGGGGGGTATGCATGAAGATGTCGAGCAGTGGGTGAAGAGCTGTCAGAGGTGTGTGCTGACAAAAATGCCACAGCCCAGGATTCAAGCGCCCCTAAAGCCATTCCTGGCTACTCGCCCACTTGAGGTAGTTGCTGTGGACTACACAACGCTTGAACGTGCCACAGATGGCAGGGAGAATGTACTTGTAATGACAGATGTATTCACAAAGTTCAGTCAAGCTTTTGCCACACGAGATCAAAAAGCAGACACTACTGCTAAAGTCATTCTAAAAGAGTGGTTCTTGAAATATGGGGTGCCTGAACGCCTGCATTCGGATCAGGGCAGAAACTTTGAAAGTGCAGTAATCGCAGAGTTGTGCAAGTTGTATGGAGTGAAGAAAACCCGCACAACGCCCCATCATCCCCAGGGAAACCCACAGTGCGAGAGGTTCAATAGAACTCTACACGACCTCTTGCGTGCACTGCCCCCTGAAAAGAAACGTCGTTGGCCTGAACACCTGTCAGAGCTTGTTTATGCGTATAATGCCACGCCACACTCAACTACAGGCTATTCACCCTACTACTTGCTCTTTGGTGTTCACCCCCACCTCCCTATTGACGCACTGCTAGGTCAGGAGAAAGTGAAAGATGACATGCCTGACTGGTTGGCTGTACACAAGGAGCGTCTCCAGGATGCTCATGCAAGAGCAAGGGAGTGTGCTGAGCGGAAGGCTGCAGAAAGAGTAGCCCAGCAACAGGAGAGGGTTTACTGTCCACCTGTGGACGTGGGTCAATTGGTGTACCTCCGCCATCGACCACCAGGAAGGAATAAGATCCAAGACGCCTGGGCGGCTACTGTATACCAAGTTGTAGAAGTGCAGGGGACTACGTATGCAGTGGTGCCACTGGAGGGAGGGCCGGTAAAGAGGGTGCATCGGTCGAACCTGCGGCCATGTGTGGGATCAGTACCAGTGCTGAGGCGACGTCACCATACAGCCTCTCCCACAGATGAGCCTGCCTTGAATCTGGAATCAGAGAATGAGTTCACAGATCCAGAGTTTGTGTTGGTGGAAGAAGTCAGGTGTCCAACGACTGAACCTGAGATAAGTATGGAACCTGAGGGTTTGGATCTGATGACTGACAAGTCAGGGGCCCATCTGGGTGCTGCAGCTAAGGATGTGGAAGAAAGTGAGGAAATACTCGGACAGGATGTAAGTGACGATGATGACCTGGAGGAAGAGCCAGTACTGGGTCCACATCCAACATCAGAGAGTGTTGACCTGCCAGCTGTTGAACTGGAGCTGAGGCCTGTGCCTGCTCCAAGGAGGAGCAAGGAGGGAAATACCGGGACAGACATACCTATTCCCCCTCCACGCAGAAGTCAGAGAGCCACAGCAGGGATAAACAAAAACCCATTTCACTTACCCATGTCAGCGTGTAATGCTGTATCTCTTAGCCCAGATGTTTTCTCCCAAGTGTTAACAAGTGTGGTTCTCTACAGTTCAAAACTTAAGGGAGTGATAGATATGTAAGAAGTCACCGAGGACGTTGACTTGCAGCAGGGGAGAATGTAGCCAGGTGAACATGGGTTACACAGGGGTTTTCTCCTTAACAAGTGCTTTGTAATTTGCTTGTGGGATTAGTACTGTAGTAGCGTTCTTTTTCCCTCAAGGGGGCATTGTTACGCTATGGGCAGCGGAAAAGGGAAATCGCGTGTGAGAGCATAGTTTTGCCGAGACACCAGAAACAAGGAAGTGGCAGTACCAGGAGGTGACTGACTGCCGTGGTGTGTATCTTTGTTTATGTTTCAGATAAATATCCCTATAAATTTCGGTAAAATATGAAAATGGTTATAAGGGTCAGCAGATGAGATAACGATTAATTTAGAAGACTTAAGGCTGATTAATGATGATTTTGTATTCCTGACGATTTCTGTAGATCTGTAAATGAGTTTGTGTGCGTATCTCCGCCACGCTGAGGGCAACACTGAACAGCGGGGTTAGCGTGAGTAATGATAAAGCACATGTATAAACAGAATTATCTCATTTCAATGTATGCTGACTGATTAAATAAGCTATGTCCATTTGTATGTTTTCTGCCTAATTTAGAGGGGAGATATATGCGTGTTGAATTCCAGGTGTGTGTCTTGGAACACAGGCTGCACACTGGAGTGAAAGTGAGTTAATTGTACTACTAAATTGTTTCTGAATTGTAAGAATGTGTAAATGGAGAGAATATTTTGTATTGAATGTATTTTTATATTTCTCATGCAATTGAAGTATTTTATGTTGAAGTGACTATGAGTTACGTGGCTTAACAAATGTTTTTATTTTCTTTATTTAGAGAGGTGCCACTACTGTTGTCTAGAGTTAGCTAATGTCTGAAGTTCAGTTTAATGAAGTAAATGAAGCTGTATGAGTTTGAGCCTGGTAACTGTAGCTGGGGGTAGTCTACATACACCATTGTTCATCAACTGCTAAGGAGAACTGTTAAAGCAGATGCTTGTTGCCAGACAAGGAATAGGGAAAAGTTATCATTCCGTTTTGTTATATCTGTCCTAAATCCTCAAGAAACAATATTAATGCTGTTCTTTATTAAGCTCAGTCGGGGAATAAAAGAACCCACAAAAATAATTTTATTTGTGTACGGTCTCATCATTCTTGACCAGGCCACATATAATATCCCATTAGTCAAGCAGGGGCAGTCAGTAACACACTTTTAAAAAAAATTTTTTTAAAAAAATTTTAAAAGGAGAGTTGTTTTTTTCTGTGTGGAAAGGAGGGTTTTTTTTTTTTTTTATAAAAAAAAAACCCCCCAAAAAAAAAAAGAAGAAAAAAAAAAAAATTAAAAAAAAAAAAATTAGAAGAAAAATATTTTTATATATAATAAATTTTTTTAAAAAAAATTAAAAAAAAAAGGGGGGGGGGGGGGGGGAGAGGGGGGGGGGGGGGGGAAAAAAAAAAAAAAAAAAAAAAAAAAAAAAAGAAAAAAAAAAAAAAAAAAAAAAAAAAAAAAAAAAAAAAAAAAAAAAATAATTTTAATTTAATTTTTTTTTTTTTATATTTTTTAAAAAAAAAAAAAAAAAAAAAAAAAAAAAAAAAAAAAAAAAATTTTATAAAAAAAAAAAAAAAAAAAAAAAAAAATTTAAATTTAAAATTAAAAAAACATTGTAAATATCATATCTATTAAAAGCAAATAGGATCAACAAAATGACCAATGTGAATAACCACAGACAGAATGTATCTATTTCTACTTCAGTAAAATCTGTTATTAATGTATCAATTAAAAGTTGATACTACACTTCACTAACACATGATAATGGAACTTAAAGTGTAAAGTAATTGAGAACTTCTGTAAACATAATGTAACAACAGTGCACATATTTATTCATTTATTTAAACAATTAGGAATTACAGTTATATTTTTTAGTTTTACAGGTTGCAGAGAAATCAATTTTCACTGACTCAGTCAATCATTACATGAGAACCATTTGATTTGGAATATTTACAGTATATTATTGATTCTGCACGTTTTTAAAACTACATAAAAAAGACAAAACAAACAAAGTCATGCAGTCTGTCTCACTGTGCATCTCTCTCCTTCTTTATTATTTCTTCATCTGAAAAAAAAAACAGAACATAAATCAATTAAATATATTATATTAATTTGTCAAAGTTGTACAGTTTGCTTGACTACTTCAATCTGGAGTTCCCCAAGCTCTTCTATACAGTCGATAGTTGTGGCCAGCAGATTCACTGCAGGCGACTGATGTTCGATAACAATTATATTAACTGTTGGGCTGGATGATTGGTTCATTTTAATAACATTTCTTAAGAACTTCAAAACAAACTTATTAGTATGACAAGCTTCATCCTCATGCAGGACAGCTTCACTATTGTTGATGTGTTACATAAAGATGCTATCTGTAATGTGTTTAATTCAATTAATTGTTAATATCTATGTATGTGCCGTGGAGCATTTAAAACACACAAACCAGCACATTTTCTCTGGTTGGAGACACTCTTCACTCTGCTGCTGCTAGATGTTGATCGGGCACATGTGCTGGTTGGCCGTGCTCAACTTCAGAACAGAGGCAGTGAAATGAAGTGATGCATTTTACGTCACTTTACTGTGAAACTGTGTTTATCAAAATCAGCACAATAAAGCTGAAATATCCCAGTTGTCACATTTTTACTTTATCACGATGTTATTGGCACATAGAGTAATACACCAGTCAGAATTAATGATTTGGTGTCAATTAACCGTTGATATATTGCTAATAATCAGTTTAAATTGTTCTGGTTTTTGTCTCTTTTGTCAGGTTTTATAAATGGATGCATTCATTTGTATTACTGCATAAAACTGTCTTTTATGTTTGTGATTTTTATTGTTTACCTGACTGAGCTTTATTTGATCAAACTGTTTACTTATTTTCAGTGAATATATAAATTCTGTATTATATCCTACAGAGGTTTTAGTATGACTGAAATGCAGAACAGGCCTGCATGTTTACCTTGACCAGGCTGAATATCATGTTATAGAAGAGAGAGGATATGAAGAGGAATATGAAGGAGGAGGCTGTGGACCACAGACTGCTGAACTCATCCTCTTCATCTGTGCAGCTCAGAGCACAACTCAGTTCTGACTCTGGATCAAAATCTAAGAAGAGGAAGGTGTAGGTGGTTAGATGAGAGGTGTGTGTGTGTGTGTAAACACAGGTTTTTATTAAGATAACTGATATACGTTTGTCTCCTTTAAATAGTTCTCATAAACTGGAATCGAGCATTATTCCCTCTTTGATCACACGTCTTGTGTGGACATTTCTCCAGTTGAACAGTGGAAGAGAACAGTATACAGAGTCACTGTATACTGTTTTCAGCTTGTTTTAAAAAACTGAAGTTATTCATGAACATGTAACACAAGGGTCCCCATGCAACATTTATTTGAAACAGTCAGCACACTTCTCAAGCTGTTAAACATTGTGACAAAGACAGATTGAAACACAAACAGTCATGACAAACAAAACTAAACTGACATGTTGACTCTGATTATTTCTTACAATCACAAAGACTGATGACATCACAGAGTGCACAGGTTCCCATGGCAGAGAGTACACACAATGACGGAACAACACATCAGCACAAAATACCACATTTAAAGCTCAATCTATTTGTCACATTCAAGGGAGTTACCCTGGGCCTTAGACACAGCTCGTGGTTTCATGGACTCATTGCTGCCAGCAACCCAGACGTTGCACTCAAACATTTTCCAAGTGGTCTCCCACTCTGCCTTGGTTGTGGTGTAAACACTTGTTACGAAGTAGCCATCCTTGGTCTTCTGTGGGGGAAAGTTAATGCCATCCTTATAGATGCCAGGGGATTTTTCAATGTTTTCTGACCAGGCGATGTAGGAATCCTGCAGCACAGGACTGAAGACCAGACACACCAGACTGACCTCAGCTTCTTTATTGACTTCTCCTGGTAGAACGTGGACTGTCACTTTTGTCTTACTTACATCTGAAAGAGATACTCAGTTTACCAGGGAGGTCCATATATAAGCTTTATGTTTGCTGTATATAGCTAGTGAAATGTTTGTATGTGTAGGTTGGCTACCTCCCCAGACTTACAGAATACTGTTCTACCAATAAGTCTCCATCAGTCAGAAACATACCTCCTTTGTGGACAGTGAGATCTTGAACAACTGGAGTCATGTCTTCTCTAGCAGCAGAACAGCGCACTTTGTTGACTCCCTGCCACTCAGTGCGATTACGACTCATTGTGCTGGTTTTGCTGTGCTGATCACCATCGGACGATACTCGTGATTCTATATTTTCTGCCACAGTTTGTTCATCAATTTGCCAAGTGATTTGGATTTCATTTACAATGGACTTGTCTCGTCCAGTGACGATGCACTCCAACTTTGCCTCGTTGTTACTGAAAATTTCTTTGGCACTTGGTTGGTTCAGTGTCACTGTGACAGTAGCTACAGAAAAGAGAACAACAGAGAAAACCATTTCTTAACATCTGATTAATACAAGAGTAAAAACTCTCATACAGTGTTCTATTACTTTATGTCTCTAACTATGACTACTAGCTGAGTTACAGTACAACAGTATTATGTTATGACTGTAGAAGTACCTTTAGAGGCAATCTTTTTATATTGTTGTCCTCTGTGCGTCGCCACACATTTGTAAACAGCATTACTGTTCCAGTCTGTGTTCTTGACCTTCAGGACACTGACAGCTGAATATACATCTCCATTTAATACAGGGTCCCAGGTAGTGCCAGCTACATCGTCCTGATTCTTTTTCCAGTTGACTGTCAAGTTGTTTGGAAAGAAATCCTCAATTATACACAGCAGGGCCTGAGAGTCTCCCCTTGGCTCTGATAACAAAGTTACCTTTGGAGGGACTGGGTCCCCTAAGCAGGTGGAAGAAAGAGCAGATCAGCACATCAGCCTGTAATTATTCATTTTAGAATTTTTAGAGAATAGTGTAAAATACCAGACAGATGAGAGTAAACATGAGAAACATTAAGGGTATTCTGTTTGATATTATATTCCATCTCAATTTACTGGCAATCGCAGGATTGTTATGGAATTATTCATCAGTTATCATTACCATTAACTTTTCTTTAATACATTTAGTCTAAAAAATGTAAAATGTGTAAACATGCTATATTCAAATCAACTCCATTTATAAATGACTTAGCATAAGTCTTACGTTGCTTCACGATAGCCTGTGTGTTTCCCGCTGCATGTGTCGCGACACATTGGAAAGGCTGCCTTGCGTCCCAGTCCTGTCTACTCACTCGGATTTGACTGACCCCCATATAAACGTTGTTTTTCTGTACTGCAGGGTACTGAATGAAGTCCGTCAATGGAGTCCCATTTTTGCTCCATGAATAGGTCAGTGAGGAGGGTGTGAAGCCGGTGGCAAGACAGCCAAGAGTGACTGTGTCTCCACTCCCCGAACCACATTGCATCAGAGGAAATACAGTTGGTTTAATTGGAGTGCCTAAGAAAGGAAAAAAAAACGTGGAATTAAATATACCAAAATTCAGCTCAACATAACATTTTTAACCAGGTCAACTGAGTTAATCAATAGTGTAACAAAACACAGCATTAAAGGCATTAACTTTTTAATAAGTTGAATATGGAAATTTCAAGTTCCCTCCATACACTTACCTGTAGGTTACATTATAACTGCTGTTCTCGGAGTGAAGAGACTAACTCTCCACCCAGCTACATATTACATATAACAGATGACATGGATAAATATTTAAGTCACGCCAGTAGTACTGGCACGCCAGGTATATAAGTCACAGGTGTGCATGATCACTCTGGTTTTTACTTGATCAACACCTGATTTTGAGCGAGCTCGAGGTGGACAGAGAATCTTTTCACACAGAGAACAACGGTTGCAACGTAACCCACAGGACGGCCAGATGTTGCATGCTGCTGTTCCTTGCACAGGTGCTACCTAAAGCCTCACTGGCCCTGCAAGATGCCAAGGTTTAGTGACTACAGGGTTAAAAGGGCCACTCAAGCCAGACATCAGATGCAAGAATAGATCTGAGTTTGTGAATCTGAGTTCAATATTTAGTGCTGCGCACTTTTGTGAAGTATAATCTTTCTTTTTTCATTTTCTGGCATGGGTCCAAAGAAACGTTCTCTGTGGGAAGTCGTATGCAATAAAATCAACAGTGATTTTATCTCGATTCGCGGAGTTGCTCTGAACAAAAGTCAGAGCAGTTTCATTCAAAGTGGAGATTTTTAGTTTAAGTTTTGCATCATAAATACACACATACATTAGATGATCAGTTTCTCATTTAAAAGCAAATGATTTGTTGAATTAAATGTCGGAATGTTAACGTTCATTACACATTTTTGAAAATGTCATTCTTTTTTTACATTTATGACTTCTAATACTACAAATATATTCATAATAATAATAATAATAATAATAATAATAATAATAATAATAATAATAACAATAATGAAGACTGTGATTAAAAAAATCATAATTTTAAACACCACTCATTGTAGGAGGATTTAAACGGTTTACAAACTGAAACATAAATCATTCTTTACCATTTTTAAGGAACAAAACACAGTTTTGCTTAAAAATCTTTCCGATATATTTTTAACAGTAACTATTGAAGCTGTTGCCATATCAGATTTTAACTACACAATTGTCATAGCCAAAATTATTTACATAATAACGATATTATCATGATATCTATAGAGAAGGATTTAAACGGTTTACAAACTGAAACATAAATCATTCTTTACCATTTTTAAGGAACAAAACACAGTTTAGCTTAAAAATCTTTCCGATATATTTTTAACAGTAACAATTGAAGCTGTTGCCATATCAGATTTTAACTACACAATTGTCATAGCCAAAATTATTTACATAATAACGATATTATCATGATATCTATAGAGAATCAGAGAAAAAAGCTACAACTCAAATTCATCTTTAACTTTTTTTGTGTGTTTTGTCTCTTTTTGTGGCCAATAAATTAAACTCAAAGTACCAGTGTAGGGAGGAGGTAGACATAATTTGATATAAATCTACTAAAGTGAACAAAAATAACAGTTACACTGAGTATAAATCAGAGAGAGAGAATGGAAAGAAATAGAAGTCATTTAGGAGGCGCGGGATTATTCATCATACATATATTATTAAGGTGATATCATTATTTCATTAATTAATTGTGACGGTTATCATCAATACTGGTGTATCACGACACCCCTAACTTATAAAGGAATACTTGATTGTTAAATAATAATATTATAAATAAAAGAAAGAAAATTGTCTTTGGGAGAAATTAAAAATCACTATGTATGAAACGATTCCTCCAAAAACTAAAATAGATGATTAACAATTGAACCTACAGTGAAAATACTGTCCTTTAAAAGATACTTTCTCCTGTGGTATTTTAAAAAGAAACTACACACGATATAAAAGTGTGTACTTAATTATGTCCCTGTTCAGTGTTCAGTTGTTTCATTAAAATGCATACTGAACCTGTATTTAAACACACTAATAAAATGTAATTTGCTATGTTTTAATTGACTTCCTATATAAAAATGCAGGTACAATAAGGTACATAATCAATATCCACAGTTATAAATTATTATTTGTAAATGATGTGAATATAAGGATGCAGACATTCATCAGAAGCAATGACAATCCAACTGAATAAAATGTAAGATAAAAACAAACCCCCTCCTGCATTAAGTGATATAACAAAGAATTCTTTTTCAAAGGCTTTCTAAGAAACAGCTGCATTAAAAACATCTGTCGGCTCTGTTTTCTAGTTATTGTCCAACATCAGTATAAACCTGAATAACACCATTAGTTAAACTTCTTTGCCAATAATCACAAAAATCAAATTTTAAAAAGTAAAATAAAAATATGATGTTTAAAAGTGACTTACCTGAAGATACTGTGACCTGAGTCCCACGACCCCAGTAGTCGAAATAATCATCACAGTGCTACATCTCCACTCACTGCTTGAACAAAAACCTGATGTACCACAAAAGGTGTTAAAACCTCATTAAGTGTTTGAAATACACAGAAATCCTGGTCAGTATGACACCCTGGTGTCCTGCTGTAAACTTGTGCTTTGTATTGATTCTTAATCAATGATTAAATTTAAAATTTACTTGACGGTAACATTTACATCTGTGCGCTAACTGTGACTTTTAACTACTAATTAACTAATGTTTAATGACTAATTAGCTTATTAAAATAGATAAACACAGTAGTTACTTCAAGTTGGAACTAGAAATATTTTGTCCTGTCCTTTTCTTCCATCACAAGAATGTCAGTGTGTAAGACTATAGCTCTTAGGTTTTTGTATGGATCTAGATCACAGTGACCACCCCAGTCATCACAGTGATAAACCCTAATACAAAAACCAAATGCTCCACTGGAGACTCTGGGGACCTGTACTGTCAGCAGTGGGTAAGAATAATACAAAACTTAAATTCTAATATAACAAAATATGTTTTAGGTTATAAATTGGCAAATTTGTATTTTGCATCATATTCATAGTTCAAAAAGTATATCTTTGTTTTTATGTATTTGTTAAAGTTATTAATTATTCCACTTCTCCGATGAAACACCAACTCACTAAATGGTGGTTACCATAATTTATTTCAGACTATAATAATGTATATAATTATATATATATAATAAAACTGTGGCATCATAATCTGCTATATTGTTATTTTTAAGCTATTCTTTTAACAAGAACAACAGTATTATGTAAATATTTTTGTAGCCTTTGAACTGGGAAAAAGAGATTCAAAGACACAAAAACAATATATGATAAAATCAATGACATAATGTTGTTATAATGTTGATAAATACAAATACATAACAAACATAAAACAAAAGCAATGACGAATGTTTAAATCAAAAACAAATCTGTTTTAAATTTGATCAGTTTGTCAGCCATCAGTCTACAGTGAGTTAAGAAAGACTAAGGGAATGTTTTGTTATTGTCTCTTCGTCTGTTTATTGAAATGCTGATTGCAGGAACAATCTGCCTAATCTTTACTTCTTTTTTTTTTTTACAGGGACCAGAAGTGATTGAACAACATGATAGAGTTCACTGAGATCCAGGAAGAAATACCTGATTCCAAGAATAAAAGTGTAAAATAGTTTCACTTTCTAATGTAAAAGGAGCTCTGAAAAGACTCTATAATGGTGACATATAAGCATAATTCAGCCTTTTTACTAAATATTTTACTGCTGTTTTAATGTACTGTAACTAATATAAGTTTTCCTTTGGTGTTTGTTGTGTGACGACCCTGTGAGTGAACTCCTCCAGGAGCCTGGCAGGTGGAGTCGGGTCATCAGGAAGATTTAGCTCACCTGGTCTGGTTGCAAGACTATATAAGCTGGATGCAGTCAGCCAGTGTCTCTGCCCAGTCTCTGCTGAAACCTTACTGTTTATGGTAAATGTCCTTAATGGTTTCCAGCTGCTCACCGGTGACATGCCTGGCCGCCTTGATGACCCACTACAGATGTAAAGAATCCCTGTGGCAGCCTCATTTTAAAATCCAGAATCACAACCTAACATCATACAAGTTCTTGGTAGACTTTGCACCCTCTTATAATATCCCATTAGTCAAGCAGTGGCAGTCAGTGACACACTGTTCAAGATGCTTATGTTGACCCTATTCTGAAGGCTTGTTGCTTCTGTCTGTGAAGATGTGAGTTTGCTGTATGTATGTCAGCCAATTCACGCCTGGATACATGCTGAGATGCAAATATATGTGCTGTGAAAGATGAGTCTTTGAGGAAGTTTATTTGTAGCTCATCTGATGGTTTCTACAAAGTTTCACTGCCACAGGTGTGGTCCCAGAGGTGCAGAGAGAGGAGGGAAGTGACTCTCTAAAGAGGATATGTTTAGAAAGGCCAGGAAATTGAAAAACCTTCAGAGCGTAACTGATAACAGAAGTTCACGGTATGTTGACTTGATGTTGTGTTATTTTAGATGTTCTAGAGTTGTGAATCAAATGACAACAAAATCCTCAAAAGCCCTTTATGTTTGTCACAAGTACACTATCACTCATATCACCATACCTGCTCCTCATCAGTCTTCAGCAGTACTTAAGGAGCAGCCACACATCCAGTCAATGCTGGGTCGTTGTGAAGTATTGAGTATGCTACTGCTTTCCAGCCAGTTATTTATCGTTGCTACCGTTTGTTGCCTGTCTGCTTCTGCCTGCTTCTGCTTGCTTCTGCCTGCCTGAGCCGTTCTCTTGCCGTCTGTTTTTGTCTGCAACTAACCGTGTCTCTCTGCCTCAGGAATTATTCCTGGTACTCAGCCCTGGAACCCTGTCCACTCAGTCCACGCCTCCTGTAAGCCAGCCACTGGATTCCCACACTCCAGGTCTACCAGCCAGCCACTCTCCGGATCACCCCCACCTCTGGACTCCCACTCTCGCCTGCCAGCTTCCCCTTTTTTTCACTATTCACTCATTGTCTAATAAACCGTTTAAACTCAACCTCTTGTCCGGTCTGCTTCTGGGTTCCCCTCAGAACCCTGACAGAACCAGTTTTCACGGCTTAATTAAAAACTATCTATACATTTCACTGCATGGCTTCCCATGAAATTCTGAATTCATTATAAGATCCTGCTGATTACACCGAAAACACTTCATGACCTTGTCTCCAGTTAAACTTCTGATCACTGTCTGTTCCTCATTCCACTTTCCGACCACTCCGATCTTCAAATCTTGGCCCTTTATCCATCCCCCGTTCCAACTGCAAAACAAAAGATGACTGCTCTCTGCTGTTTTAGCTCCAGCCCTCTGGAATCATCTTCCCCAATCACTGAAATTAATCTTTGGACTGTTTTAAGTAGCTTCTAGAAACCAATCTCTATGGACAAGGCTATTTATAGATCTCCTGTCTTGTCTTTGTTTTTGTGTGTTTTAGTTTGGCCTCTCTCTTATTGTGCTTAACTTATGTTAACTTTTCATTTTATTCATTTTTATTTGTTGTTTGTTTGTGAAAAATGTTGTAACTGTAAAGTGCTTAATAAATAACGCTTGACTTACCTACTTATACTGGAACCGTATATCTTCCTTGTAAATATAATTTTGTCTTAAACTTTGTTCTTTTTTATTTTAATAATTCCATTCAATTGCTTTTAATTGTGCAATCCTGTATTTTACTATGACAATTAAATTAAACCTTGAACCGATTACACTTTCTACGGTGATACTGTAGAAAGTGAATGTTCTTAGTGGTTGTAAATAGAGGAAGTAGTTTTTGTATGACTCTCCTGTTATTGTCTCTCACTGTGTGTCTCTGGCACAGTAATACACAGCAGAGTCTTCAGGCTGCACATTCTGTCCGTTTAGAGTCACTGTGTTACTGGAAGAGTCCAAGGTGACACTGAATTTGTTCTTAAGTGAATCTTTGATGTCCGTATCAGAACTAATCCACTCCAGTCCTTTCCCTGCAGGCTGTCTGATCCAAGCTGTGTAGTAGCTGCTAACAGAATAAGAGACCTGACAGGTGATGGTCAGACGTTGACCTGGCTGCACAGTCACAGAGGCTGGCTGTGTCAACTGTTCACACTTCACACCTGTTAAAAAAGAAAATGTTTTGTAACAAATAATCAAGTTATACTGCAAAAGAAGAACTGTTGAGTTTGACAAATCCAGAGAGACTCACATCCAGCTGCCAACAGCAGCAGCAGAGCTACAGAGAACATGGTTTATGTTGAAACTGACGTGCTGTGAACTCCACTGACAGCCTGATGGGAAGTTTTTATAGCTGAGTAACAAGGAAGGTCACTGAGTTTGCATAGAATCAAACATATGAAGCATCAATGTTGGTCTAACTGGAGCCAATAGAAGAGTCTGTTGACTGTTATTATATCTGCAGAGTGAAAACATGCCTGGAAATCACCTCTGCTTTACATATGGTATTTTAATTTCATTTAACATTTTGAAAATGTCTCTTTGCTTTTACTGTAAACTATTACTGTCTAAATCTAAACAAGTCAATATTGAAACATTTTGTACTTTTTTGTACACTTGCAAACAATGATAAGGATCTTTATTAATGCTAATATTAACATTAATAATGATGCAGAACATATACATTAATGTAAGAACGATGATGTGCACCCATGGAAACAAAAAGAACAATCACAAATAATGTTGTTTTCTATACGACATGTTTATCATGTTTTTTGTTTCCCTGAGATCATTTATTTACTGTCAGCACCCACTACCAGGGTTGGGGGGTTACTTTAAAAATGTAATCCAATATAATTACTGATTACCTATAAAAATGTAGTCAGTAACCTAGCCCAATTATCACAATATTAAAGTAATGTAACTTGACTACTTGACTTGACTAACTTTGGATTACCTTACCAACTATACAAATAAAGACAAGAGAAAAACAATAAAATCACAATCAACAAAACCAATAAGAAGTATTGATGCAAGTGTATTCTACAAGACAACAAAACAACGTGACTTTTGAAAAGAAGATGGAAACCCCCAAGCCTGCATCCTACATTACAGTCATGATTAACTTCAAAACCTGAGCACAGCCTTTTTGTAACTGCAGCATTTATTTATTCATATATTTGCTCACTTTCTGTACTTGCTGACTGTATTTGCTGCAAACAGAAATAGCAGCAGCCAGGATCATGTAAATAGTCTGATGCTGGTGGTTTTCAGGTTTGCATAAAATACTTGGAAAGCCTTGAGGGGAATACAGCTGCTCAGGAACTGAAACCTGTGTGACAAAATGCAAAAAACTAAATTATTTAGCTTCGATGAAAACTAAGGTAGTTCACAAGTAACCTGTTGAAGGCTAATTATTAACACATTTACCTTCATCTGTGTGTGGTTGTGTCAGAAATAAGTCCTCATCAAATTTTCGTGTTCTGGGTTTACTATTATTGCTTAATATATTATTGTTATTATTGTATTTATTTTGTATTTATTTATTAGTGACCAGGAACAGCTAAATAACTGAAATATATTTCCTGTTTTATTGTATCAAATTATTTCTAATGAAATATGACTTTAAATCCATTCAGACATCAGTGGTCATAAAATATGTGTGTGTTGTATCATTTGAATTACTGGACCTGAGGACATTAATCCTGTGAGACAGTGCAGGGTCTATCAGCCCACTGAGGATGAGAAAAGAGTTTTTGCTGAAAAAATCCCAGAAAATGTTTGTTACTGCAGGATTAGTTGTTCATCCATCTTCAATCAGTCTCACAAGAACAAGAACACACAGCAGCTCCTTCAGGCTTCCTGCTGTTCATCTTCAGGTCTTTACCAGATCTGAGTGTCTCCTTTTAGTATCAGAGGAGAGAGAAAGTTGCCCTCTTGTGATTTTAAGAAACTCAACATTATTTTCACTCTCATATTCTGACTCACTTTATGTTCCACGTGATTTACTGACATTATTGAGTCTTGATTTGCTGTTGTTGTCCGTAATATCAACAAGTGATGTATTGTGTATTTTGGATGTGTTTAATATTCAGTAATTAAATATAAGTAACACTTTTCTGGACTTTGTATAATGCAGGGACAATTGTCAATTCATATAATAAAAATACATATGTAATGTAAAACACTGAATATAAAAAATATCAACATATAATATTAATACAAAAGTACTTCAAGATTAGTACTGTAGGGTTTTGTATAGCTGCTCAACCAACTCCAGTCACTGTGAGTCTCGAGCACAATAATAAACAGCAGAATCTTCAGTGTTCAGACTGTTCATCTGCAGATACACCTGCTGTCTGCTGTTGTCTCTGGAGATGGTAAACCGGCCTTGAACTGACTGAGAGTAGCGTTTCTGTCATTATCATATTCAACCCAGGCAAGGAGAAGCCTGTCTGACCCAGTGCATATAGTAGCTGCTGAATGTGAATCCAGAGCCTGTACAGGTCAATCTGTGAGATTCTCCAGGCCTTTTAACCACTGGTTCAGATTCTGTCAGAGTCTGACCATCAACACCTGTCAAACAAAGAAAGCTATTCATGTCATGTGTTACATTGGCAGCACAAAATGAAAATATGTCAACTAAAGTTCAGTGAAGATGTTCACCTGCCCAGCAGATAGTTAACAGCAGCAGTCCTGTCCTATAGTCCATCATGTTAAACTGTGTGTCCACTGTTCTCTGTCATCCTCTCTGCAGTCAGATAAGTAGAGGTGGAAGACATCTGAGTTTTGCATTGACTCCTCCTCACAGGGAGGAGAGAACTAGACTGGACTGGTGATATTTTTATTTTTATTTGTCGAACTCAGAGGAAATTTTACAAAAAATCAATACTTTGAGTTTCTCCTTTTGACTTTATTTTTTACGGTAGCCGTGAAACGTGCTAAAAAATGCAAAAGGCCCTGTATACAGCCAGTGTTTGCCTTGTCCGTTTGGGGCTACTGTAGAAGCATGGCAAATACAATACAAATAAAATAAGGTAGATAATATTTATAAATATTAATTAATATTAATGTTATTATTGTAAAATGGAATGAAAATAGTGTGAAATTGAATTCAGTGATCATTTATTCTATTAGAATGTGTTACTGGTTGGCCACATAGGTTTCTAGGTATTTGTACAGGTCTGTTGGTGGTTTGTATCACTGTGGAGCCACGTACATAGTAATACACAGCTGTGTCCTCAGGCTGCACATTCTGTCCTGTTAGAGTCACCGAGCTAGTAGAAATGTGTGTTTTGTAAAGGAACTTGTTCTTCAGAGCATTGTTTTGAGAAAAGCTACCTGCACCCCACCGATGCCAAATCCATTGCATTGGTTTTCCTTCACACTGTCTGATCCAACCTGTTGCATAGCTGTTATCAGTCAGAGAATAACCAGAGACCTGACAGGTGATGGTGAAGGACTGTTCAGACTGCACAACCATTGAGTCTGACTGGATGAGATCAATGCTGTTCACACCTGTGGAAACAGAAATCAACATTATCTCCATCATTCATCTGACTATTCAGTGTTTCTAATGTGTTTATTAGTGTGAATCCACTGAAAGCTCCTCACAGGATCCAGCTGCCAGCAGCAGTATCAGAGCTACAGAGAACATGTGAAGCTGAACTGATGTGAGCTCTTCTGTCCTCTCACTGACACACACACACACACACACACACACACACACACACACACACACACTTCACTTCCTTATAAGTAACCTTTATTTGCATCTTGAATAATCTTTTATTTAAATCAATTAAACACTGTCGTCTCAAGAGACCAAGAAAGTAGAGAGAAATGAACGAAAAAAACCTTTTAAGAAAGAAAGATTTACTCTAAGATAACATTTGCATATGTGCTGTTACATTAAACTACTAATGAACTAACATTTATCTGCTCATTAAAAATTATAAACACAATCTCATATTCCAAATAGAAATATTGTGTGAGTGTAACTTTGTTTTTCAACCAGTTTATCAGTGTTTTTAGGTTATTTCTTTTCATTTTCATTTTCTATTTTTTAATGCAACACCAACCGATTAAATTGATTTTAATGTAGGATTTAGCTGTCTTCAAAATCTGTTATTTTAATTTTAAAAAAGCTATTGTTTAATCAACAACAGTAATTGTAAGTATAAGTATACGATATTTAGGAAAACATTTTAAACTTCTCAAGGAAAAACAGATTGAGAGAATCAATGACAAATGTGATATAATTAATGACATTGATAAATTAATGTTATCACGCTGATAAATACAAATTGAAACATCAAAGCAATGAATGTTTAAATTTAGAGCTCTTTTAAATTTGGTCCATTTGGAAGCCATCAGTCTACAGCGAGTCAAGAAAGGCTAAGATAATGTTATTGTTCTTACAGATACATTTCTGCTCAGCCTCACTAGAAGAGATGATCATCCTGATGAGAGAGCAGCACAGTGTGGAGATTGATCAAGGACTCTGAATTAGGGGTTATTTTAAAAACAACTTGTACAAAGTGGTTTTATTTTCTATCAGTGACTGTCTGTAGTGGTTTCTGTACGGCTCTGTGGCTTCCTGTGTCACTGTGGCTGTCGAGCACAATAATAAACAGCAGAGTCTTCAGTTGTCAGGCTGTTCATCTGCAGATACACCCGGTCCATGTTGTTGTCTCTGGAGATGGTGATTCTGGACTGATGTGGAATAAGCTTTAGTGCTTCCACTCGGAGCAGAAATGTAGGCAACCCACTCCAGTCCTTTTCCTTCAGCTTGTCTGATCCAGCTGATATAAGCATCGTCATCTGATATTCCTGCATATGTACAGGTCAGTTTGTGGGATTCTCCCGGCCTCTTCACCACTGGTTCAGACTCGGTCAGAGTCTGACTGCAAACACCTGGAGAGAACAGCAGTTTGATCAGAACACAGCCAAACAGAAACCTTGACACAGAAAAAGAAGAGGACAAAATTGTGTATTCACCAGAAATCAGTGATACCATCAGAAACAGTATACGTGCTGTTAAAGTCATAGTGAAAATGTGTTGTGTGTCTGGATGATTGTTTGCTGTGTCTCCAGTTTGCAGTGAGCTAAATAATAAAGATGGAAGAGATCCAAATTTGCATTGACTCCTCCTCATGGTGTTGAAAAAATAAAAAGGATAACAGTGATATTTATTGACTGAAGGGATCTGATCTACTTACTGAGGGAATACTTTTTTGTTGGTTGTATAAAGATATTCATTAGAGGTGTGTTTGCCCAATGTTTGCTTCTTATGTGTTTTTAATTGAGGTTTCAAGGCTGGTTGGACAAGACACAGACCATAAATGGAAACGACTAATATTTGGTGCCAGATTCTGAGCATACAGTATGTAACATACAGACAGTATAAGCAACATATGATTTGGATCGTATCCATCTTCCAAACCACTTGTATTCT